TGGCGTGCATAATAGGCTAACCTTATAGATATCTACCCCAACGAATTTACCTAGGTAATGTAATGTCCAAATGTCTAAACTATGTTGGTAAGAACAAGCAAGTGTCTAAGATATCGTTCATATCTTTTGAATCCACTTTGAAAGTAAGTATTGACGCAAATGACAAGAAGCTAACGAGACATGATGGTGGAGACTGCAAGCTGCTTGCTGGTACGGTTTGAAAGTTTTGGTGTTCCGCTGATACCATCCATTAATGTTGGATTCTCGTTGGAATATCTCTTGGAAGTTGGAACATTGCATTGCGAGAAGAGAATATGCAAGGACTTGCTTGCCATATAGATAGATCTACCTAGATGATAATGTCAGTCAAAAACTGGACAGCCATAAGAACTCGGAAAATATACAAACAGAGTATACAACCAAGAAGGTGCTTCATACTCACAGGTATACTTACACATTCTATAGGTACATCAACGCCATGGAAGTCTGGGCTGGGAAGTCCATTAGGATCTCTTGCTCGGCCACCAATTATTCGCTATGTAATGCTGAAGCTCTCGCATATGTTTTTTGTACCAATGAAACGGCGGTAAGTTTGCTAATCGGCAGATGTGTAGACATCCTAGAGGCGTCGGCCAATATATATGGAACATAGCAAACGGCCAAAAGAAGAAAAATGCTGTGAGTTCTCATGAACGGGTACGTGCTGCCGTGCGGAGCATTTTGTCTTCATCTTGCATATGCCCTTATGTTCCTAACCATGTATCGTGTATACTAGGCACCTTTCTTCAAGTCCCTGCTGCAAATTGACAAGCGTTGAGCCAACCAACTAGAAACTAATAAGATTCATCGCCACTCCCCTACCTGAGCCTACATAGGTCGCTTTCTCTCAAATCACGTGGCAGATGAAACTAGGTTGGGGCTCGTTTATCTCATCCTCAGACCACACGGTGATTACATAATTTTTGGCCTTGATTTCGAGGCAGAGGCCTCCCGAAGGTTTATCACCGTAGGGATAAACGTTCCCCCCGATCCCTGATTGGCCGAAAAAAATTCGATCATTAATAAGCCACAACACCACCATGAAAAGGATCAAGATATTATTTAGAATTCTAATTAAAAACGTTTTATCGACGAAGAGATTCTGAATATTGAGATAAGGGCTCGTGCTCATCATGCACTTGATTTACTTTTCATCACCACTTGATATTATACATAAAACTTCTAAGAAGTCTTCAATCGGTCTTTTTTCCAAATGTCTTTTATCGTCCCAATCGAAAGTGGCGTGGAACCAAGATCTTCAATAGTTCTCTCATTAGTGGAGCACTCCTGCTTCCCTACATACTCAAATGGACTTTGGTTACATTGATTAGCAGAACTTCGACATCCGGAAGACGACGTGGATGCATTCTGCTACGTAGGTCTACAGAATTAATCAATAGCTTGTCTATCTAGCGGAATAGTTGCCACTAATTCCTTTAGATCGCTAGGGGTGGCAATGTTTTCGAGTAGCAAGATCAATATTTGTAACGATCAGTGCTGCGACAATACTAGGGGTGATTTTTAATTTAGCTTGATGTTTTTGGAGAATTCCATGACGAGAACAAGGAAATCATTGCTATTAATTGGTTCCTAGAGATGTTTTCTTTGTGAAGCTAGTGCTTTTACTACAGAATCCTATCCAGTATGAGCTGGTTGCGGCGGACCGCTGGGTCGTGAATGCGGGTTCCCGCAATGCATCATTTGCTCATATACGTATGCAATTAATCTTTACTTTTTGGGGGGATGTCTGTCGATTTTAGCTTGCAAACGAGTGCGCTGGTTCTAATCGGTCAATGTTAGTGCTGCTGCCGCTTTGAGTTATAATACGTAAAGTTTCTGAATCAAATTCTCCAATTATGGCGCCTGAGAAATTGAAGCTCAAAAGGCAAGCATCAGTCTGTATCAAATCCAAGCTCTAAGATACATTTTCGAAAGCCTTACCTCAATGTATCTCCTTGGAATTTTTCTTCAAGTGAAAAAACGCCAGGAATTAAAAAAAGATAGGCAACTTACACCCTGGTTGCGAATCTTCATCGAAAGAGATACCATTCTCAAACCATAGATGAAGACTTTACCCATAAAAATCAGCGGGGGTGTCGAAGCCGCGGAAATCACTTAGATTTGGAATACTGCAATCTTGAAGGACTAACATATGTAACGTGTCTAAATTCGAGTTACATTCTGTATCAACTCTTTTAATTGATTGTAGCAAGAAAATCAATTTTCAACATAACAAGAATCAAAGATAGGAGACAAAATCAAACATTCTAGCTTTATTAAGCATTGGATTCAATGTAATCATCAACAAGACATATACATACAGGCTATGAATGAAAATTCATTGTGTTTGACTGGTAGTTTGCCACTCGTCGATCTGTATAGTGTTATCCAAACCTTTTGGAGGTTCTAATGTATTTACTCAAAATTGAAATTGCTAATATCAAAGTTGGCATAATGCGTTTCAGGACTTTATCTCAACTTCTAGAGTATGTGCAAGTTGTGCATTTTAGGAAAGCGACAAATCATGATCATTTGAACCAAGAACAAAAGATAAAGTACGAGGTTTATATCTAGACGATAAAGAATCTCTTGACCGAATTTTTCCTCAGACATTCGGAATCCATCCATCAGTTTTCATCTCCCCAAATATCTTCTCCATCTCCTTAATAGTATCAACCTTCTTCGTCCACCCCGCCTTGCTTGCTTTATCCATATTAACCACACTTCCCCACTCCCCAGTGTCCATGGCACGAACGAACGCGTCCCATGTAACAATCCCCAATGCATCGTTCCTTACTCCATACTTTTTTGCAATTTCCGGCCATTCTTTCTCCATCTCTTTCACTTCACTCATCAAATCATATTTCCGTTCCATCTTCGTCTCAACTCCAAAATATCTTCCAATTCCCTCCCAAACATCTCGAAACGTAGTAATCGTATCATCGACAATATTGAACTTCTGATTCTTTACTGTCGGCTCTTCATTTACCGCCAACCATTCTGTGAATTCTGCAATCACCCAACTCGTACTGAAGTGTTGGCCCCTGTCCCATTTCCCATAGTACTCATCCTCTCCACCGGGGAAAATCGCGGGCTTGTTGAGAGCTTGACAGAGACTAAAGTAAATGGCTGCGGATGTAACCCAGCTGTTTCCGGATTTCCCTACATACCCTGATATCCAGAACGGCATTGTAATATTCCAACTCCAAGAACGTTCTTCGGAGAGTGACCATAGAAAATCCTCTTGATGGTAATAAAAGTTCGGGACTATGATGAGAAGTTAGTAACTCATTAGCGAGGTTATATCAAGACTTGAAATAAATATGAGAGTCGATGGGATGCAAGTGTATTCGGAATAAGTGCGCGCTTAGATTCGGGAAAGGGTAGAGATGGGGTGTCATAGCTTACGAGAACGAGGATCGGTCACCCGGTGAGCATCTTCGGTTAGGGGCTCTGAGGCGGGTGGAGAGGTAAGTAAGCCGTAGTTCTTTCCTCCGGTTTGGAGAATCACACGTTGCACTATAATGGGAAAGTCAGCCTTTGAGTGCCAGGATTGATGTGAAAGAGCTGTCGGATGAAATGGAAATAGTGTAAAAATCTCAAACAAATCCAATGTTTGGACGGGATAGCCAGATTAAACGGGGGTTCAACTTACAACTATCACGAGAAGTGACATCGATAGCAGTGAGAGTATCGGTGAAGAGAGGTACATTGTTCTTGGTCATCTCTTCTAGGTGATTGGGATGGTCATAGTCGGTATGAATGTAGGCGTAATGGAAGAAATGCGTAACATTTGTAAGTCCTTTAGCACGCAAAGCCTCGGCAATCTCACCAGCAGTAGCTGTGAGATCGAGAGAATGGAATTCGACGCGGGGATCGGAAGGGAGATTGGAGGGTGGGGAGCGTGAAAGAGCAATGATACGAGACCTAGTATCAAGAGAAGATTTTAGTTGGAAGTCCGATGTCAGGCCAGAGGAGAAGGAGAGTTTGAAGGTATTGTACTTGTTTCGAGGTTGAAAGATACCTCCTGATTGGATACTTACCAAATCGGATTCTTAGAAAGTTGCCTCAACAAAGCGGATCCTGAGATTCCATTTGTTCCTGTAATAAGTGCAACCTTAGGTGTTTCAAGCGAAGTCATGATGATGATCTCAGTTTGGTATATTTCTTCGTTTTCGTGACGCTTTCGGTGCTTAAATTTGAGCCGTAAGCGAAACTATGAAAAAGATCCCGAAGAAGAAAGTTACTAAATATCATAGTTTATTCCACGAAAAACAATTTATTTGCAATGTTGTTCGGAAATGGTTACAACCATTTTCTTGCTTTCATGTTATATAGTTTTAAAATCATTGTATGCAAGTTCTTGGCATCATCATTAACAATCATACATACAACCGAGGAGTATTCTCCCGCTAATTGTTCTAATTCAACTAAAACAATCAAAGGCTCAAATAGTATGATAGCTGAACACTATAAAATCGCATAAACTCATTTATCGCAGATTTGTCATGAAATTTCTCAGATGATCAATTCTGCCCTCTTTTTGCTTCTACGTATAGACTACTTATGAAGGACATTAGGCTCGGCTGCAGAAATATGAACCATATCTATTCAATCCTATGGGAAGCGAGGAATATGATATCATCTGCGCAGGTGGACAAAAAGAGATCTGTTATGCACAAAAAGCGGGGTGTGCATATGCAGGTAATCGGAATTGGAGGGGTATGGTGAGGGGCATGATAAAGTTTCTGTCGTGTTTGTGTCATGTTAGCACGAATTTCCTGAGAGGAATTCGTAGTATAGGGTAGCGCAAAGGTGGGATGATTCTGACTCTTGTGTTTCTATAAATAGGTAATGATGCTGATCGTGTCTTATATATCCTTTGATTACTCCTCGGTAAAAGATTCTTGCTTGCTGGTTACATTCCCCCTGCACAATCAGCAGTATGTAACTCAAAATGATCATGCGATGATCGCTCCATTCAAAATTAATCCTCCCAGCACGAAGATACTGAGAACTCTGAAATCCACATTCCTTAACATCGATACAGCGTTACTAGACTTGCCAGTCGCTGCAGCTTTTGCCGCGTCAGAAGGAGAACTCGAAGTCTTGCTAGCGGTACTCATAGGGTTAGGTTCCGCCGAGCTCGTTACACTAACGCCAGTTAAAGCCGGGATTGCTTTTCCCGCTTTCAACTCCACGATATACTCGTTTCTATCTCCATCGCTTGCCGCATCATTTTCCTTGAAGTTGGCCTGCGCGAGTCCAATCTGATTGTTATCCAAATCATAAACCACATATGCACTTCTCAAAAAGGTATCCCCAAGCAAATGATAGTCCGCATAAGTCGCTTGTATGCCAAACGCACATGCTTCGCCGGTAAATGGCAAATCTGGGAGAGTATCCTCGGGATACAATGCGTAAGTCGGATTTGTAAGTGGAAATACAAGTTTTGATATGGGAACCCTAATCATAGCAGAAGCAGAAGATGAGGAGAATAGATAGTCGATTGTTAAAGAGGATGAAATATTGAGAACTGAACAAGGGAGGTAGACATTTCCAGTGGAGTCTGTGTCATCGTAAGCGTTGAATCTCCTGAATATGACCTTTGTAACCTCAGTTGGTAATATGGTAAGCGTGGTTCCAGAGTCCAGAAGTAAAACTTGAGGAGAAGTTGTCACGTTTGCAGAATTGCCTTCTTGATCTGTGATGCCCACTGCAGCAAGCTCAATTGGCAATGATGAGTAGAGAACCGAGCCATTCCAGAACGGTTGCGGTACTATATCTAAGTTCACGAGTTCACCGACAAATTTGGTGGTATCGACTGCACCAAAAAGAAGGGATCCAGTAGCTGAGTCTTGCGAATCTAAATAGAGACTATAAGCTCTGGTACTGACGAGATTTTGGGAGACTAGCTCGTCAATGATACTTGGATATATGGTATCAGAGGCCTCGTTGATAGGATAACCAAGTCCCAGTATTCCAAGTTGGAAATTTGTGTCGTTGGCGAGACCCATCTGGAGAGACTTAATGGTGGCATTACCGAGAACAAAAGTGTCGGCTATATAAGGTCCTTTAGCTATATAAGGTCCTTTAGCTATATAAGGTCCTTTAGCTATATAAGGTCCTTTAGCTATACCTCCATCCAGATACTCAATATTAAATCTATCGGTAGTGATGTTCAATTCGACAGTCGCAGAAGCGTTTTGGTTGTCTATAATACATCAGCAAAACTTCAACATTTCCTTCCATGCTCTCAAGGACAGGTCTTGGCTATAAAAATTGACGGAGTTCCCTGAGCGGCTAAGAAACCATTTAGTGATGGAAATACTTACATGGTGTCTCGCACAGGACTGGAGCAGATCCATTCTTCTCTGGTAATCGAACACCAGTACATGAAGCAGTAGTATTGGCAACTATCCAAGTGTCGCTGCTTCCTGTATCGATAGTCAACTCAATATGCTGAGGCGGAGTTCCCACTTTGACTGAGATCACATAACTTGCTTGTGTCAAGTCGTTGACAAGAGATGCAGAAACGGAGTCGCGGGTAGAGAGACCGCGATTGAGAGCAGGATGTGGAGCATGAAGCTTTCTTGTGATAGGAATGCGAACTTGAGCGAGCGTAAACATGATCAAAAGTAGGAAGATTACCGCGTGGTAGACTAAGGTAGCCATTTTGAAGATTCGTGATATGTATGGTGTGAAATGTAGGTAGTGTATAAGTATTGACATAGCAAGTTATATAGAAATGAGCATGAAAAAGTAATGCGAATACAGCAAATACACTGCCGACTCGCTGCCCTAAATATAGCATGAGATACCAGCAGTGAGTCCCATCCCAGATCAAAGTTATCTGGATGTTCAAAAGAAATGGCAAACGTGCCATTCACGTCAACCACAAGATGACGCAGCCAACTTGACTTTTTAACTCTCATATTCGAATTATAAGGATAGTAAAAGCATAGCGAAGAAAGCAGTGAACAAGTTGAGGAACATATTCCCACTGCTTCCTTGAGATACAGCAAACAAAAAGACTGAATAATACACCTAGTATAGACAGTGTAGGCAATAGTATACTATAGTGAAACTATAACGCGTATTAGCATATTGATATTACAGCTAGTATATATAGAAAGAAGACTATACTATTCTTATATATATTTATATATTTAAAGAATATTAATAATATACTGAAATATTGGAATTTAATATAAAATATATATTCCTATTCAAATTAAATAATAAAATTCTATTCCTTATTTCAAATTGAATAGGAATCCCTTATTTCTAGTTTAATTTGAATAGGAATATATATTTTATATTGAATTCCAGTATTTCAGTATATTACTAATAATATTAAATAACTAAATGATATTGAATACTTTTAGTAATATTGAATTCTATACTATATATATATATATATTTCGAAAAAACTCGATATACACCATTAAACTAACCCGTATACGAAATACGGGAAATACTATTGCCTACACTGAGTATAGATACTAGGTGTACGACTGCAATTTGGCTCCTTACATTCGGTTTGCAATGGAGCTAAATCGCCACTGGCAGCAAGACTCTTATCCAATGACCACAGAATTCACCTTGCTATCCTATCCTGTCTTGCTCTGCCCTGCCCTGCCCCAAATTCCCCATCGAAAAGGCGCAGACGAAACTGCGTAGCTTAGCGAGTAATTATGCAAAAAGCCGAGTTCCCAATCTGACGCAGCGAGTCAATATTGATCTTCGGGAAAAAATGCAACTTTCGAGAAGAAAGATAGCTTTTAATCTTCTTCAATACTGTCATAAACTCGGAAGCTTACCCCGTCCGTCATGCTTGCCTTTCCTTCTCCCAAAGATACAAAGCGAGATAAGTAATATGATGAATCACCCAAGCATTAGTATCACATAGACAGATATTTGCAAACACAATGCCACATCCTCGAGAATGTATGATTGTAACTGTTGAATTGTGTTTGCATCGGAAACCCAAGCACCCCGCCAAAACTCACCTCCATTCATCTCACCCCCATCCCTATCCCCATCAACCTCATATCACAAACTTAAACACATCCACGCCTCACCTCATAATTCATCATCAATAGCTCTTTTCCTCCCATCCTCTCCTTCCCAATCACGCCCGCCTCCAAATACCACAACCAACTAGAAAACACCACACCACACCACACCACACCACATCATCTCCCCTCCTCCCCTCCTCTCCTCTCCCTCCATCTCTCTTCCATTAAGTTTCCACATCCTAAACACAAATCTCACTTCAAGTTAATATATACGAATCTAACCAATCCATGCACGCATATATACATACACACATAAACAAAAATATGCACACCAACGAAAATAAACACAAACCCCTGCTCCCCCTCTAATCCAGGAGTATCATAGCGACTAGCCATTAAAATATCCCAGAAGAAGATAAAGAGCAATATCCATTCATGACTTTCTAGTAGAGGTATCAGATCATGCAGATACATATACAGAGCTGCGTTCGCTTTTTCATTATTCCCTACACTCGTGGCTAAATATTCATACCTATACACGGCCTCTAAAGCCCAACCATCTAATAGTAACACAATTCTCCCCATCATTCCATTCCTACATAGAACCAACTTACTACCTCACCTCACCACGCCACACCTCACCTCTTCCAATCCCCCACATGTTCCTGAATAATCCTCGCCGCCTGCTCCGGACTATGCTGTCTGCCAATCGCCTCTACAAAATCCCCCTCTGGATCCATCAAGTAAAAATAAATACTATGATCGACCAAATAATCCTGGCCCTTCTGCACGCCCTCGGGCGTCGAAAAGTAAACCCGATATTTCTTACAGATATCCTTAATCTGTTCCCACGTGCCTGTGAGCCCGATGATGCTAGGATGGAACTCCGCAAGATACGTGGCGAGCACGGCGGGGGTATCGCGTGCGGGGTCGCAGGTGATGAAGATAGGGAGGAGAGCGGGGGTAGAGGAGGTGCGCGTGGGAGAATTGTTGATGAGATCGATCATTTGAGCCATTTTGTCGAGTTCCTCGGGACAGATATCTGGGCAGTGGGTAAAGCCGAAGTAGACCTATTCGAATTCATTATATCAGCATTGTTCTCCTTCTATCCCGTACTTCATTTGCGTGCCTCCAATTGCGCAGTACAAAGATTTAAACCTACCAAACTATATTTTCCCTTCATATCCTCGCTACTAAATTTGCCTCCCTTATGATCGAGCAATTCAAACGGTCCGCCAACCTTTGGTCTCCCTACACCCTTTGCAGCTTCCGCTATCCTCTTCCTCTCCATCCTCGCTTTTTCATATCGAAAATAGAAGATCAGCCCCGCGCCGGCTCCAAGAAAGAGGACTCCTGCTGTCCACGAAAAAGGCTGTTCCAGGTATAATACGTTAGCGATCATTCTTCCTCAAGAACACATTCTGAATAGGATTCAATAGAAGCATCATTGTTCTTATGCAGAAGCAGTCTCAGGCCTCTATTCACACCCTTTCTAAAATCCCATCCAGCCAGCCAGCCAGCCAGCCAGAAAAAACGAAACAAATTCCCTACCCCAGATTTATATCTCGACCTCTGTTCCTGCACCGTCTTATACCCCCTCCTCCCGGCACTCTCCTCACCCAATCCCATGCTCTTCATCCCCACACTCGCAGACCTATTGAATCCCTTCACTCCGCTCAAACAAGCTTTATTGTGTACGCCCCTCGGAAGTCTCGAAGCGCAAATTGTAGATAATCGTTGGCATTGAAGCCCGAAAGTTTGCGCATTCTTCGAACCCGTCCTCGAGATCGTAGAGAGCATGTTGCGACTCGTGGGTAATATAGCGTTTGACATGATTGCTGTAGTTACAATGTAGAAAGCTTCGGGGAGAAGGGAAGCGAATATGAACTGATGATGCTTGCTTGAAATTTGGAGCTTCAGATCAATTAGCCCACCTTTGGGACGCCGCTTTAGTCTGATCCCGATCTCCACCAAGATGAATTATTTTGGTCAAAGCGGCGTCATTTAGATTAAATTCCTCAGATCAACCCCCCTCGCTACAAGCATCAGATCACATTTCAACGGATTTTAGTCACATTATTAAGTTTTCTTTCAATATTAACTATCTCTACTGCTCTTGCAACTCCTAGTAAATACTATATGCAGCTTCTTCCTCTATCTTACAGAGGTACATTAAAAGGGCCCTCCCTTTCTCTTGCTTGATGCGTCGATTCGAATATGCTCCTTCTTCGCTCAAATTAATGTACCAAAACTCCTTTGCAACGCCAGTTCCATGCATATGCATTTCCCAGGGAACTAATCCATTCTGTTCTTTCCTGGGATATTCTATTAGATAGGAATGTGAACAGAAATAAATCAAAAATAGGACGCCATTCCCACGAAGTAAGTACCCCTACGGAGTACCCTTTCTAGGGATTTTATTATCTCAATGAACCGATTCATCTCGTGCAGATAAATCCAAAAACGAAAAATCCAGCAAATCGAACCAACGATGATGTGATGACAAATATTCGGTGGAGACCCACTGAAAAATCATAATGATATGGTCATTATACATCGTCTATTCGCGTCGGCTGACTTGGCTAGCACTAGTACGGCTTCTCTCATCTTCTTCCAAAACATCACTGAGACGAGTTGGATGATGATGACGAGGAAAGGACTCCCAGCCTGCACCTGAGCCACCTGCACCATATCCTGATCCTGTGTAATCGACTGAGGCAGCGGGGGCAGAAGTTGGATTACCGGCTGTGCTGCTTGTGGGACCTTGTCCGTACTCAACGCCAGCCATTGGGATTGGGGGTCCAGTAACTGGAGCACGACCTTGGCGGTGTTGGCGAGGACTGTGCTCATACTCAGCCGTATCATCATCAGAATCGTCATTTGAGTATGGAATTCTGTTCCCAGCAGCGTCAAGAACGTATCTTCCTTGCTCATCAACCTCATATTCCTCATCACTGTTCGATCCATCATACTGTCCTTCGGTCCTGCCGGCCTGAGTACTTGGACGACCTTCAGGTTGTTGGTAGTAAGCACTTGGGGAGGCAGGTTGTACGGCTGGTGCTTGAGATGACGATGGGGCGGATGTTGTAGCAGCTCCTCGACGTTGACGAACATTGTCAATGAATGGATCAGCTGGTTCTGCACGTTGAGAGCGCTGATATTGTTGGTAAGCTTCATTCGATCCAGCTGGGCTCTCAGGATCTGCGAATCGACCTCCTGTGCGCGCACTTCCGCTCCCGCTTCCAGAATCAGAAGGACCTCCTTGTCTTGTTGGAGGAAGATCTCGAGCAGCTGTGCTTCCATGACGACTTGGTACACCCTGGATCATTGGAACAACCTGGACTCCACCCAACAAGGTTGGCTGACCTTCTCGCAAAGAGATTGTTCGTTCGCGTTCCTCCGTCTCACGACGACCAAGTTCGTCCCATGCTCTACGAGCCTCACTTCTAGCAATCTCCAACTCTCTCTTCAACTCAGATATTACTTTATCAGAATGATCTTTGCGCCTGGATGCCTCAACGGCGTCCTGAATAGCTTGAGCTCTGGAATTACGCTCATCCTCCAATTGTTTTGCCATAACTGCCAAGTTCTCTGTCGCACGTTCCTCCTGTTCTCTTGTCTCAAAAAACCACCTCTGAAATTTGCGCTCAGAGGAAGCTCGTAAACGTTGTAATTCGACAACAGCATGGAAGAGATTTGCGCCAGCAGCTGATAAATCAGTGTTTTGTCGGGACAACTGCTGTGACAATGGATCGCGATTAATTTCCGAGGAATTTTCTTCAAGTCTGCGCAGCCAGAAACTTGTGAGTCCCTCCCAATGTGCAGAGAGAGTCTCCCAGCGCTCGAATGCATGCGGAAACGATGATCGAGTTGGGCCATCACGGCTTGGAACGGTCAAAGGCGGTGGTTGAGCTGGACCGGCTCCAGTAGCTAAATTTGGTTGACTTGCACCAGTCTCGGCGGGTTTTGGTTGCGCCATTGGTAATCTGAGTGGTGCAATTTCAGGACCTGTAGGAGTTCTTGATGTTGTTCCACGTCTTTGCATTGGTTGATCGACTGGTCTGATACTTTCTCCGCCACTTGTTGCTCGATCTGCGGCTCTTCGATCTATTCTTTGGGAATTACTCGAAATTCGTGGTTGTCCTTGCTCTTCGAGTCTTTGTGCTGCAGCGCCAGCAGCTGCTCTTCTCTCAGCTTGACGCATTAATTCTTCCTCATTTCTTTTTTGTTCGGCGACTCGGGCTTTTTGTTCCGACGCTTCAGATGCTTTTCGAGCTTCGCGAGCTTGTCTATCTCTCATAATATCTCTTGGACCACGAATGTGGGGCGAACCAGAGGCTACAGGTCTAGCGCCATTGCTAGCCGAGCTCGTGGCTCCTCCTAACATATCTGACATTGAAGCGTTTTCTTCAATATAATCTGGAGTGAATTGATTGGGTTGGCGTAACGCTTCTTCAAGGGTGTAAAGGATGGCACTCGCAGTGTGCTTATCGATACGTGGAGGATAGGCGGGACTTTTTTCCGCTTCCGGAGAGGGACTTAATGGGTGAGGTTCAGTATGGGGATCGTCTGCGATGTCATGAGTGAAGTCGCCTTCACTTGATTGTCGATGGGCGAATTTGATTCGAGGCAAGGGAGAGATTCCAGCTGAAGCTGCTTCAATGTGAGTTCTTCGCAGTGTTCTTCGCTGCTGGCGCTGTTCGGGGTTTGGTGTGTTAAGTTCGTGGGTATCGTGACGGTCGTTAGATATGGGGATGGGTGGGAGCGTCAGCTCTGCTGGATTTCTTGAATTTGGGTGAGAGGAAAACAAGGTGAACGCTGTTCAATAGAATGCCCGAAATGGGATAAAGTAGAGAAACGTTGCTTGTGTGTAAAAATAAAGAGAAGCTAATAAGATTAGAGAATAGAAGGAGAAAGTGTGAGGACTGATGCTAAATTTATTGATGATGTTGTTTTTGTTGTAAGTTGTTGGTTGTTGAGGTTGTCGTTTGGAAAGAAGCTCGAGTTGGGGATGGAGACAAAGTACCTCCCGGGATTTGAAGGCGACGACCAAAAGTGAAAGACAGAAAAGTGAATTTCAAGAGTCGAAAGACGATAGAAGGTGGTTTTTCGGTGTGAATAAGATATTAAGAGGTTGGACAAATGGTGGGCTATTTTTAAACGAGAGAGGTTAAAAAGAGGAAGGCTGGGCACGTTGAATCAAAGCACTTCAACAACCAAGCCAAAACAATAGAGCTAATAAGAATACAAGAAACCAGATCCTTTGGTTTGTTCTGAAATGCAAAGAATTGGTCTTCTTTACTTGTCGATGTTGATATCGAGAGTGAATTTGGAAAGCTGGACAGCTTATTACGTAGTAGGTAGGTAGGTAGGTATTCGCACACAGATCCCCAAGATTATAATAAGCTTGATTGCAAGGATATTTTCTCCCTCGGTATTTTGAGGATGAGAGCTCTTGAAGCGCAAAATGAATTATGAGTTCTGGACAATGAAGGAATTGATGGAAATTGGCGAGAAAAGAGAGGAGAAGTCAGAGAATGTATCGATGGACTTGAAGATATCATGCTCGCACAATGATTGACTCAATTGCAAATTTCGTTTCGAGGGCGGTTAAAGGAAGTACCGTTCCCGTAGGTGAGTGAGTAGTGAAGAATCGAGTACTTTGTACTGGTACACATGTATGGAGAAGATGTGGGTATCCGTCAATGCGCAACGCAACGCAACGCAACTCGATGATTTGGTGGAATACTGGTTTGGGTTGGGTTGGTTTGGTTTGGTTGAAAGGACTGAAAATGTGATGTGATATGTATATCAATCACATTTGAAGGAGACGGTGTATGTGATGTTGTTGCTGTGTGATTCAATTGATGTAGTCAATCTCAATTACCAATTAGGATATCGGATATCATTGATACAGTCGGATCTGATCTGAGGCACTAGATATCAATCATGACATAGAGCTCTGTAACTCGATTCGATACTTCAAAGTAATAAGCTCTGAATCATAACATCATTCTGTCAAACCAAGACATTCAGAAGCAAGACAGGATAGATTCTCCCTTGACGTCCAGAAGGGAAATCGTCGTTTTATTTTGAAACTAGACCTTTTTTTTCGGATAATGAAAGGTATCGGCAATTCCGGATGAAAATCTAGGCGTGATTCAAGGAGGTTGGAAAAGAAATATATATATATGATGGCGTTGAAGAACTTTAGAGGAAAAATTATGGAATTCTGTCGCAAAAAGAAAGGAAAAAGCTTACTTTACTCGACGTGAAAGGTCCTCCCATGAAACTTGGTTTTGGGACGGGAGCTTTTAGTGCTGTGCTGGCATTGTAGCATAGCATGAGCTGCATGGTTCAAGGGGTTTAGGGATTGGTTCCGCTGTCCCCACCCACTCTGATAAAAAGTGGGTCTTGGGGGTACGATGTAGATGTAGATGTAGATGTAGATGTAGATTTGATATTGATACTCATCTATGTCATATAATACTCAATATCATGTAAAGAACCTGTCTCTGCTTGAAGAGAAGGCTATATATACTACCAGATATGATATCAGCATCGCTACACGCATCCACTCTACGACAACCTTGCAGTAACTACCTATCAAGACAATATAGAAACAATAGAATAATGTTCCATACCACTGGAGCATCAGATACAAATCCAACCCAACATCCTAAACTACCTTCCTATTTCATCCAGAAATCCTATAATTCCCTCTTCCCTCCTCTCCATCTATAAACATAACACCTCTACCCAGATCAAACCCCGGATAACTACCTTAGATCCCATCAGATTACCAGATCAATTTCTCCCTCTTCCACACACTTTGTGAGACATATTCAGGTACCCGTTCTCCCACAGACTAGTCTAACCACATAAAAAACAATCATATCACATCTCATCACATCAAAGTGTACAACCAAATATTCCAATCAATTTTGACATCAAATTTGATATGTCCATGTATTTCCATATGTTTCCGTTTCCGCTCTCTACTGTCTGTATTTTCCTTTTCCCTCCTCCCGACCCCCTCCTAATCCTCCCCGTAACTAGCCTAGCTACCAACAACAACGATAAAAGATTTGATATCTAACAACGAACCGCTAAATCTTCACAATATGTTATTCCCGATCCCAAAAATGTAATAAAAAGTCACAAGAGATTAAAGAAACGCTATAGCAGATATGCCAGTCCTCTGATGCCCTTCTCCATATGCTCTCCTGGTACTTCTCCATATATGCCCAAACACCAATGATGTACAACCACCATGACTCAGCCTCCCAAACATATGAAAATGAACCCCAAAAAAGAAAATACACAACAGAGATATCTGTGTGAAGTGTTGTACTGAGTAGAGCTTTTACGCTGTAGATATGGTATAACACGCTATTTGGCATACACCATTTGCCTCCCTGTTCGTCTAGATCCTTGACCGTCCACCCATCTGCCAGAGCCCTAAGCCGCACTAGCTGAAGTCTCCTGCTCCTGAGGTTGTACCCTCTTCGACTTGTCCCTCTTCTTGCCCACCACATCTTTCAAAACCAATAACTTTTCCTCCGTAATCCTAATTGCATCTTCTACCTCTGTCTCATCCATCCTTTCGCTCCTCAACCTGTCCTCTATATCCAACCTCTCCATGGGCATTCTCCCAACTTCTCGTAATCTATCCATTCCCGCCCTTTCCTCTAACCACAACCAAAGTTCGCTTTCCTCTCTTCTCCAAATCTCTTCATATGCTGCGATTCTCTCCGGAGTACCTAGATAGCTCATTCCCACATCTCTATTCCCGCCACCCCCAATAGGCAATCCGAAACGGAACCAACTTGCTACTAGAAGTCCGACGAGAAGTCCATAGAGTATATTCCCTGTCATCAATGGTTTGACGATATCGAGAATAGGCTCGAATATACCACGAACGGGCTCAAGGAGACCCCAGTTAGTTGCTTCTGGTTTAGTCTCAGAAGCGCCATCGGTAACTTTGCTAAGATTGTTTGCCCTCGAGCCTTTGCGACCCTTCTTTTTGCCTTTACCAGGAGCGCCTGGTGCTCCAGAGCGTTTGGTACTGACAGCCGCTTTGAGTGCAGCTATGACATCTTTTGTGTATTGCACTTGACCATCATTCGCGCCCTTTTCAATTGGGGCTGTTTTCAAATCAGTATGACAATACAATATGTGGGAAGATAGCATTGTACTTACTTTTCAGCCAACTCTTACCCGTCCACTCAATTGCACAGTTGACTTGCAATCGAGTACCGTTGCCTTCTGACCATGAAAGACAATACCTAGTCTTGGTGCTGAAAACGTTTCCGCTAGGTACATCTGGAGTTACTGTCGATACCGTTACGGAAACTGCCTTCTCAAGATCCATAGCGTCCAGAGTCTCTGTAGAGACACATTTGGTTTGCTTCGGACCAATCGCGCCATTCAAAGGCTTGATATAGGTGTAATTTCGAATCTTGTTCTCCAGAGACAAGGGGATTTTAGCGTTCTCTTCGTAAGTGAGCTCGAGACATTTTTGTTCATTAGTGAGCCAATCTCGCATCCAAGTTATGGATGCGGGTCCAAACATGAGACTATAAACCTTCCCTAGAGGAGCAGGAATGACTTCATCTGCGAGTATCTTCGCATAATGTGTGTCACCATCGGAACAAGTTGTTGGGGCATGTGTAGTTGGACCAGGAAAGTCCACTGCGGCTGTTGGACTAGTTTGTTTACCTCCTTCGACCCCAGCCCCATTGGTCACAACAGCAGCGGACGCCTTTCTACTGACAACCTTCTCACCGGCTTCACTACCCACGACGCTACCATCTGCTTGCGTGAAGCTCATACCGTCTTCGTCGTCTTCATCTTCATCGTAAACTTCCCCGCTACCTTCGCTGTCATCCGAGGACTGTGAGATACTACCTGGACGAGAAATAGGAACAGTGCCATCATCCTTTACAGTCTTATCCCCGCCGGTGCCTTCAAGTGTAACTCCATTCAACGAGCTTCTTAAATTTGGGTGGCCGATCTTCCAAATGCCGACTATGAGATCATACGTCGAATCACGACTTGTAAAACTAGCGAAAACATTCTTCGCATGTAGTGTTGAAATCATCAAACCGTTTTTGAATAGCAGTGCTGTGCTTCTCTTTTCCACTGAAATGATCTCGTCGAAGCTCATAACCAATGTTGTTACCCAACCAAAGATATTGCTACTGAAACACAAGTGACCTTCGGAGACGTATAATCGACCATGGGCAAGAATCTCTCTTTGCAAAGCGCAGCTATAATCTTCGATAAGATAGTCATCATCGGGTACGCTTCTGAAAAGCGCGTGAAAATCCTTGTTTCTCTTCTTGCTTGCCACTGCAAAACCTGTGATTTTGGGGGCCGCGGAACCTGGGCTTCCGATGGATGAATTAGCTGCAGCAATTGCTGCTCCGATTGTTGTACCAGTTGCTGCGGAGCTGCCCCTTTTCCTGTGATTAATGCCGCTTCGGATACTGCCGCTACGTTGGATACCAGATTTCCCTTCAAAAACACTTCCATTTGGAGGAGTTCGATCTCCATTCGCGCTTGGTTCGTAGACAGAGCGTGGACGTGCAAGAGTATGTAAGTCGTCAAGTTGAGGTGCAGCGACCGTTTCGAGATTTTCTCCAGTCAACATGTTTGGGGCAGTGGCAGAACGATTCGCGAAAAAGTGATCATCCCTAGCGGGATCAGACCTTCCGCGAACCTCGTCTGGATACTTCGGCATTGTTGGAGTACTTCCTTCTTCTGAAATACCGAATTGGCTCAGACTAAGATCTCCCATGCCCAATGTCTTAACGGCTGGCTCCTTTTCTTCCATAAGATTTTCTGTATCTGTCTTCTCTCCCAATGCTTCGACTTCCGGACTCTCAATCTCCTGTATACCTGGTATTGCGTGCGCACCACTCTTACTTCTCGTCCCTCCTGGGACAGACGTGTTTGTGATACTGTTGCTCAATGTATTTGCAGCGTTCTGAGCAGCAGAAAAAACCGTGGAGAAAAATCCAGTTTGACTTTGTGCTGGTGTAATTGCTCCGTTCTCTGGTGTGGGTGTCAGCGGCGCAGATTGGATGTTCGATAATTTACTTGGGACTCCCGAAGCAGAACCTGATCGGATTCGTCGATGTGATATCATATTTCCCGAAGGAGAGACTAAAACATTTGCAGCGAACCTGGTAGGGGACTCTGGGCTAGTGACAGAAGTAAATTGCGGTGATCTTGTGTCTGTAGGTGTTGGAGGTGTATTAACAATAACAGGGGCCGGCCTGTTCGCAGATGGTGGAGTCTGAGGACGTGGGGTTGTATCGATGGTGGTGAGTTTGCCCTTTTCGATTTGTGGCCTTTCAGGAGATGATGTTGTAGATCGAGACTTACCGGGGGGGAACTGTTTATCAGAAAAGATTGAACCAACTTTCACATTTATGAGACTCCCCCGCCTGGAATCAGCCCCACCGTCCTTAGTATTCAGTGATTGATCAGCCCCGCCCCCTCCAGTCTTGCGTTCTGGACTTGTGTTTGTGCTTGACCCGCGTCTTGGTTTGAAAACGTCTTTGAGTCTGCCAACTGGTGATGATGACCGCCTTTGAGATCCGTCGGTGGGAGCCCGAAGGTTTTGGGTAAGGCTTTTGGAAGCTGACTCGGAGGTAGCCAGACTGTCTGTAGAATCTGCGAATGGTTCTCCTTCTGAGTGAGAAAGTAAGGGTCCGATTTGTGGAATTGTTGAAGTATGTATGAGTGGGGACGAAGAAGTGAGATACCCAGTGTGCGAAGGGTGCGTAGTCAATGGTGGAGGTGTTTCGGTGGCCCTATCAAAGCAGCAATTTGAATTAGAAACTTAATTTCTCAAAGCTAAGATCAGTTCTCCACATGTCAAAGCAAAGATGGATGCTATAAATAGGTGAATGTAGTGCGAGATGGGTCAAATTGGGATAGAAATCGCAAATCAAGCGACTCGGTGGCAATGCGATGTCGATGTTGTGATTTTAGAGTACAACTGTGCTGTATGCAAGATTGACGATGATAATGGGCAATAAGCCTGCAATGTTGTGGTTGTGACGCCTGAGATACCCCTAATGGGTCCCCCAAACTTTTTTCGCTTTTTAAACCATGTCTCATTGTAATCCCCAAACCTTGAAATAACCGCGCGGAATTGACAGACAATTGTCGGTGAGGGGAGAATAGGGAAATGAAATAATAAAAGAAAAAGGAGAGCAAGCAAGCAATCAATCAAATCCGAACACCTATGGAAGGAGTGGGCACTTACGATTCCGTTTCCGAATCATATGTTAACAAACTACTTCCACCAGAAGGGTTTCTGTTGATGGGATTTCTGATATCATTCTCCAGAGTCCCTCGCTCAGCAATATATTTCCCGCGAGCTACTTCTTCTGCCAAACGTTGTTCTGCCTCCTCTCGTTGCAATCGCTTCTTTCTCTTTTCGAATCCTTTTGGCACGAATTTCTTGAGGCTATTCGACGCATGGCTTTCCTCCTCGGAATCCGAATCTTTCTTGATTTTATCTATCACTTGCTCTAATGAGGCGCGGAAGCCATGCGACGCATCACTTGCGCCGCTCCTTACTGAATGTGACGTTGAATTTCTATGCCTCCTTCCATTTCGCGATTTCGAAAAGATGCCCGTCGATTTGGACGATTCGGAGGCAGTTGGCGATGTGGGAATGTCGTCCATGGCGGGGGTATCGTCCAGAAATCTGTAAGATGGAGTAATTGGGATCTCCCATGTACGAAGGAAGGGATCGCGGTCGAAAGACAACCTTCTCGAGACGGAGATATTGATATGCAATGTAAGGTCTATTGTGCGATATGCGAATATTAGGTACGGAGTAAGTGGTACGGTAGATTCGGAGGTTGGAATATGTGAGTAGATTCAAAGTTCTAGGTCCATGAAGCGGATCCAAGATAAGAAGGTATGATGAGGAGTGAAGTCACAACCGGCTCGACTGGAATGAGACTTGATTGTAGGATGAAGTAAAGATCGTTCATAAAAGTAGGTATTGGTATTGTACTTCTCAATTCGAAAAACCTGACGATATGACGCGTCTATAGGTATAATGCTTGATTTGAATTGAAGTTCATACGGTATGGAATAGTACAATTGTCTAAATGCACGCAAACCAAACAAAAGAGGTTAAATTCCAACAAACTTTCAAAGACTGTGTGATTCTCATCATCATTCCTTCCTACCTACCCACAGTACTTGATTGATGGAGTTACATCCAGAAAGTTCATTAATCTACCTAACTTGGTAACTACCTTGCTTGCCCCTGCCTACCCAGGTACTTACTTACTCAACACGAGCTTTCCTTGTGAATTCAGTCTCTTTCTCACGTCATTGGTAGCCGAGAATGCAAGTTATGCAAGAGAAAGAAAGTTACGGCCGCCCGGTTGGAGATTTGAGGCTAATTCGATTGACCATCAAGGCTATTTGGACCTCAAATTCACCATAAAGTATCTCCCAGGCTCGCCAGGTAGGTAAATCTCAGTCGCTGCAGACTTTGCATGAATAGGTGCAGGTGGTATCTAGCACGTACCGTTCTACAAGATGCTTTGAATCCCTCTGTCCTTTAGGTACCCAATAATAGGCATCGAACACCTGAAAATGGCCACTACGAGCTCATTACTTCTATCTAACTATCTGCATATCTACCTGCCTGACTACACGAGCTTCTTGAGTAGACGAATGTTTCGCCACATCTGTAAATGATCTAGAGTTTACATCTACATTTTCAATAGGGGAGAGTGTTCGAGGTCTGCAGTAGTATTTCCTGTCTACGGAGAACTAGCCGAGTCATGTTGAAAGATAAGCAATGCCGACTACCCCAGACAGCCTAATCTATCCCTATCCGACAATAGCATCCGGCCTTATCCCTTCTCATTCTCCAAACGTCCATATACACACAAACAATATTTGAATCTATCTTGACTTGATCACGATCTCTTGAATAGGAATTTCCTATATCACTTACACAAATTTGAATCCTTGATAACTATGGAGGCTTCCTCATTGGCGTTGGTATAGATATTTCCATCTTACGTCCACAACGTCATGATCACCTCTGACTGATAGCCAATATAGGCCCATGATCATGCTCGCGCTGCAGTACTCGCGACGCATAGTTCAGATACAACTGTCGCAATAAATGAACATGCTTTAGCTGCGGGAGAATTTGCAAAGGCTGCATCTGGGACAGGAAGCGCAGAAGCTTCGAGGACTTTGAGACTTTTAGAACAACATCATCAGCGACTCTCAGAACTCCTTCGATACCCCACTGAACACCCCGTAACTCCGATCCCGAACGCGAACGAAGCAGAAGTAAAAGCTGCCACGGAGAAACCAGTATCGACATCTGCGGCAGTAGCAGAATTACGCTCTTCTAAATCAGACCTTGACCCTCGCACACGAAATACCTCAGGCTCGCAAACTCCCAGGCGCCTCCCTCCGCGTGAATTATCTTCGTCAATCGCCAGTAATCTAGCTTCTGCAAGAGGCATACGCTCAAGTCATAGTCGTCAGCTACTCTCACCAAGTATATCAGCTTTACAGGCGCCAGGTACTCTTGACGGACGTCGAGAAGGCAGTAAAAAGCCAAATGTTGCATCCATTCCAGAGCATGCCACATTGAAGCCGAGTTGGGTACCCCCTCAACATACTCAAACGAAAGCAGATGCTCAAACTTCTACATCAAGAACATCTGCGGTCGCTGAGCCAAAATCATCTCCTGCAACTGCCCAAGATGACGGATTCTCGAAGTTCTACAGTGCCTTCAATAGTGTTGTTTATAAGTTATCAGCCCCATTAGCCTTTGCTGGCCTGCCTCTATTCTCAGAGCCTGAACCGTCTGCAAAGTCACCAGAAACATCACCTACAATCACTCGCAAAATCAGACCCCGAAGCAGAGAAAGATTACCCACGGAGGAGCCTGATCTCACCAAATACATATCCAAGGCCGCTCTTCGTGCATCTGCTCGTGATGGTCATCCGGGCAATGATTCCTTCTACGTAGTTCCCACCACAGGCGGCATGGTATCATACGCGCAAATTCTCTCCTTTGAAAAGAAAGAACAACGTCGTTTGGCAGCGTCCATGCATGGAATAGATCCGCAACTTTTCCCCGACCCAAACGATGAGGATGATTTTGTCGATGCTCGCGAAACGCCCATGCCTAATTCACCCAGCAAGTCGAAAACAAATCGTCGTATAGCGGGTAAGGAAACAGATATTCGAATCGAAGAACTAGATCTCGAAAACAAAAGTCTTAAAAAATGTATCGACAAACTCAGCCAACGACTTCATGCTTTCGAAATGTCAGCGCAGAATAATGGTATGGCATTGCAAGAAAGTATTCGACTAATGCGACCTGACGATAGGAGTCCTGGCGGCAAATCAAACGATGAAATGGCTAGGAAAGTAATGGAGCTTGAAGAGCAAGTGAAGGTCATCAATAAAGAAAATCAAAGACTATTCCGCGATAATCAGAGGTGTCGAGAGACGCTTTTGAGGTATAGGGAAAAGTTCGATGCATTGAAGGCTGGGGCAAGGGGTAGAAGGGATAAGGAATTGAGTGTGAAAGATGTAGAATCGAAGGATGGAAGTGTGAAAGCAGGAAATGGCGCAAATAAACCGGTAGGAAAGGATACGAGGGAAGCAGGCGGAGGAAGATTCATGGCGGGATAGGTGGCGAAACGCATTTTAACAACATGCTGCAATATACTCTGGACCTGCTTTGATTCAATATCAAGCGTTGAAGATCGTAAAGTGCCACCAGCTATCCCGACTTGAGAGGTAAACTGGTAAAAAGGTAGAAGGGAAACGGTGAAAGGTGTGTCTTTCAAGATCTCTAGCATCAATTCATCTCATCATCTATCATACACCATCTACGCAGACACAGACGAGTTTATCCTATTCAATCATATCTCAAACCATATCCTGTATCTGACACCTGTGTGCACTGGAGATCTCACCGTGATTCAGAATTTCAAATCTAATATTCACGTTCCATTCCACAATTTCTCTTGTGCGTGTCGTTGTATGAGTGGTGCGTGGTGGTACGTACGAGTACGATTGATGATTGATAAACGATGAAAGAGGAATGATGAGTGAGAAAATTAGATTGAGACTCGTGAGACGGAGACTGTGTGTAGAACTTGACTCGATCTCGGATAAATTGGTAATAATGCACATACTAACATACATACATTCACACAACACAACACAACACAACACATACCTGAAAAAACCTCTAATCCATTTTCTTCTTCTTCTGATTGACTTCGTTCAACGAGGTATCCAGCGGCGAGCGCATCAATTTATGTATGTATGCCAACCTATCGAAGATCGAGATCGTGTTGAAACATCCTCTTCCATCTCTCGCGCAAGAGTGTATGAGATTGATTCTGATTTGATTCCCGCGCCGCTGTATGTTCTTTGGACTCTGCTACCAATCTACAAAGATGCTATCTATCCCAAACCCCCGATGAATTTCCACAACCCAAGAATCCATCCACAATGACCTATTCGGTTCTACTGACTTCCCTCGTCAAAGCCTTCAGCTCATCCCCAATATCCTTTACTCCTGCCTCTCCGCCTTCATCAAAACTCATCCTTCTTCCCCAACCCTCTGGTTTCCTCTTCAAAAATGCACCCACACTCCCAAGATATCCTTCATGTCTCAGAAACATCGCCTTCTTCTCCCCGTTACTCCAGAATTTAATTGCATAACTCAATGTATTAATCGTTTGTCTATGCCCCCTAATAAAACTACCTCCGAAATATATCGTCGACAAAGAATGTTTTTCCGATTGCAGATATGCAATTTGTCCTATATTGTTGGAAATTGCATACAAGAGGGACCGGGATATATCCCCATGGGAAAATGACGGTTCCTCGGCGGAATGGGAAGAGCTAGATGGTTCTTCGCTGTTGTTTTGTCCTCCCGAGTCTTCGGCTAATCGTTCGGCTTCTCGTTTCATGCGGAAAACTTTCCCGAAGGAACTTGCGATGGCGCTACTCTTGAGCCCGATCTTGCCATAATCTGTGCCGTAGATATCGCCAACTAACATGTCGACTTTGGCATTGTCACCTCTTTCGGCCATTCCGAGCATGTCGTCGAATGTTCGAGCACCAGTCAAGAGAGATAGTAATCCCCAGAGTGTGCCACCGCCCAGAGAGGTTCCGCCAACTCTTTGATATTCTCGTGGTCCGGATACCTTTATCATGGACACACCGCTTCCGATGTTGACGAGTAGGTATGGATAAATATCTGGACTGGGCGAGGTGAAATGCATTGGTTCCCTTTCGCTGTATGTGAATACTTCCCGGGGAATCTCGGTAATGAAGAAATCGAGACCTGTTGTTTATTTCCCGTTAGTATTGCATAATATCAATAGAGTGCGTGCCATTAGGGAGGAGAAAGTACCAATGATCAAACATTCCATCTCATCCTCTCGTATAACATCAACACCCAAAGCTTCCTTGATCTTATCATAGTACTTATATGCCCCTCCACCAGTTGCCATTACGCATAAGTCCCCAGGTCTTGATCCATTGAGTTTCTGTTGCTTGATCTGCAGCTGTTTCATAAACTCCACACAATCATCTATGCGATCAGTCTCGAAATTCATAAAATTGAGACGACCGCCTGGCTCGCGCGAATGCGCCTCCCTCGAGAAATATACAAGCTTAGCTAAAGAACCTCCGATCTTAGGAACATGTCAGTACATCAATCACCAATCCACAGCCATGAATCGAGAAAATAAACTCATACATCTACAGCAATATGGCTGACCACCGCCGTATGGTTCGGCAGCCGAATATCCTGGGTATCATAATTCCTCTCATTTGTATTCAATTCCTTCGGTGAAGCAGAATCCTGATCGACTATGAATGCGCCTGTCACATTAATCTTCACGCTTCCTGGATGGATGATCGTACTATCAATTTCCGCCGTGTTTGTTCTCGCGCGCAAATGTCCACCGACCGAAGCTTGCGAGGAGGGGTTGGTGGGGTTTTCATTAATGGAGTTCGAGGTGGAGGGGATGAGATTCTCCTCAGTCCGCGGGATATCCGCAGACATGACGGATTATTGCTGGCCGGAATGCCAGGAAATTGAAGTGATTATAAAGACATAAATATAAGATGTTGGAAGAAGAATCTGACATTGATTGACCGGAGTTTGATTGATTGCTCTTTTGGAAGAGTCATTGCCGAGCCGAAATACGAAAAGGTCGTTAGTTCAGGGGTCTCTCTTATCGATAAGCAATCAAGTGCCGCCGTCAATTTATTCAGTTTTCGGCACTCAAGTGCTTGTCTTCCCCCTTTTATCTCTCTCGAATTGTTGTTGGCAGTAGGCGACGTTTGACTTGGCTTTGTACTCCTCACTTATCCAAAATGATCAAGGTGATCATGCAAACATATTCGCGTTGTCCGATTTCTGCATGAAAAATAGGAAAAAGACAAACTCCATTGTTTGATTTCAGTTTGCATAATCATCATCAAACAACCTACGCAGCAGTGATCTCGCATTCAATTTTGCCATTGGATTGCTTTTTGATCACGATGTACTCCGTAGCATATTGAGTACAAGCATTGAGAATATGTTATTTGTAATTCTTGTAGCATCTTCTGTATTATTTGTTCCTTATTTTCTTTATATCTAGCATACGTCTTCTTGCGAGTGCAATCATTGAATGTTATGCTCAAATTCAATGAATCATATAATGTTGATTTATCTTTGGACAATATCTCTGCGCGTGAAGCACATGTCGAGAATGTCGTAGATACCGATTCGTTTAAAATGTATCTCGGATATCGGTAGTGGGAATTAAGATAATTCCAAGGCTGACTAGTTTGTCTCTGCTTGTCCTTCGTATGAATCCGATCAGGAAACATTGTGCCAACTTCCTAGCAAAACGTATCATAGCAATCGAATAGGTAGATTTGACGATCAGCTTATGGCCCACATAGATGAGAGGGGAAAGGAGGTTAGCGGATATTACCATATCATCGGAGAGTCCTCCACCAACAAAATCCTTCATTCATTTTGATAGAGAAGCTTTTGAAGTGTCTCTCGTTGTGAAAGGAATGAATGAATGAACGTGGCGCAGACTGTTTCGAATGCCGGTGCACATATCATTTCTTTGCGAAACTCACGGTGAGATACAAATACTTAGGAGCTGGGATGCTTCATGCCGAACGGTGCGGGAATGTGGCAGCGGCATTACTGATTTCACTAGGAGCTCGTCAGATATCTGGCAAACCTACTGATGGCTAGAACTCTGGCCCGAGTCGATAGGAACTCGTTGTCAGATCACTATTCTGAATGTAAATTCACCTCGCTTTGTTTGGTCAGATAGTTCTCAATTTAACAAGAGAGATGCTTTTTTTCGGAAACACTCGGGAAAGAAGAAAGATGAGAAATGATCCAAGATTAACAGACGCAAAGAAACTCTACAAGAGCCCGAAATTCTTTTTAAATGGCGGAATTTGTATTTAGTCACTTTATTATTAAATTCGCATACTAGCTGTCAAATCATAACCCTAGCCTAACGAACTTCGCGATCTATACTACATCATTAAGCTTAAATAGCTCCGGAACACTTGATTAATTGTACCTCCCGTAGACTTCATTGCGATTCCAAAATATCCGACAAGCTATCTGGCCATTATTTTGCATGTAAATCAAGAACTTTGAAGAGCGTTTGAGCTTCAATCGATCGTCTTGTTATCCATCAATGCAATGCTCTCATGACATCTCACCAAAACCTCAAAGAGACAACGATCATTCATCGTTTCAAACGAAAATAGCTCAAATCGGTCGAAATATGAAAACCAGCTAGTAGCTTCGAAGAGAACCCAAAATCTCTCAAGTAAAAGTCTTGAAAGAAGAGCTCTCGGAGCTCTCAACACTACCCAATCGAAGCTTCTCAACTTTCCCCTGTCACTATCAAAAAATTATCAAGCCTCCTCATGAACCGCAATTATGTGTTCAGCTGCCTGTGACAAATCATCTATTTTTAAACATTCGTTTCTCGAAAAATGTCTCTCATTCTTCTAAACCCGGCCTCCGAAGAATGTCATCTGCATTCACCCCGTCAACTTTCCATCTCATTTCTATTTTCTACACAAAGGACCCCACTGTGAAAATTCTCCAGCCACACACATACACGCATCAGTATAAAACTAATATCCAATTGCGGCACTTTTGCAATTGCCATGTGGAATTCCCTGTTCCGGCGTCGCCAATCCTGATACCAGCATTCATACATACCCGCATGTCTGAAATCCCGCCATTGCGGGATTATGTGGGACAATTGTACATTCTTCTTTCCAACATACTTTTCTGGCAGGGCAACATTGATAGGCTTTTCATCCTCGAAAAGGAATGAATAGATGAAAATGATGGACGAAATTGAAAAGACAGAAAATAATGTGAATTATTGTTACAAGAACAATCAAATCGCACACCCTCCTCGAATGATCCCTCCATCCTAAGGAATGAAGCTCGTTGCCACACATCAACCCTCGCCATTGAAAGGAATGATGTATACCTTCGGAAGCAACTCTTTGTCTGCACGCTCCCTATATAAATCCAGCATTTACCCCTCTTCCATTTTCTTTTGTTCTCTATTGTTCTCATCTACAATTCACTTCCCATCAATTCGTTTCAACCTCAACTTCAATTCCTAAATCCCATCTGTATAATCTTCTTCTTTAAAGTTTCAACTACAAAACCAACCTCATTATGAAGTTCTCACTCGTTGTTTTGGCCATTACTGTCACTCTTGCCTCTGCGGCCGAGTTTCCAGGTCAGCCAGCTTGCGCTGTAGGTATTCCATAGTAGCTTTCTCAATCGCTTAACTAACAACCCATATAGAGCGCCTGTATCACACAAGCCGTTGCAGAAGGCACCAACTGCGACATTGAAGACACAGCTTGCCAATGTCAAGCCTCCAATCTCGCCGGCATCTCCAGCGCCATCGTTCCCTGTATCCTCGGCGCCTGTACCGCAGCGGGAGAAATCCAACAAGCCCAGAATGCCCCAAATAGATGCACCATAGCACCCGCGGAGACAACCGTCTCCGAAAACACCAGCACCGCAGAGACTACTTCGGAAAGCTCCACCTCATCCGCATCTCCAGGCTCATCTTCTTCTTCTTCGGGCCCAGCTTCAACTTCTGAGGTAGGATCTTTAACCACTGCGCCTGCTACGACTTCAAGACCTGGGAATGGAACGGTTACTACCGCAGGTCCTACTGCTACTTCTAGTGCAGCCGGAGAGGTCACCGCGAATGCAGGACACTCTGTTGGTCTTGCCGGTGTTGGCGGTATGGTTGGTCTTCTTGCGGCCGTGGTCGCTGCTTTGTAGATGGTCTTGTCTTCTAGACTTGGAATACCATAGCACAGTACAGCATGCGATGTTTTTGTATTACCGCAGTGTTTATTGGAAAGGAAAATGGAGGAGGATGTAATAATTATTGGATATTTGGATTCTTCTAATCGCGTTTTCAAAGAGAATTGAGGGAAAATCCGGATGGGAATGGCCAATTTCATGGGAACGATCCTAGGCACGGCGAGACTTGGTAAACTTACGACATTCCTTAATGGCAAAATTCTCATTTTTTCTATTATGTAGCTAGTAAAGTTCAATAAAATCAATTCACATCTACACGATCGTACCCAGTATCTCATCTGGTCATCTATGTCCCTCGGTAGGTTGGTGAGACAATGGTTTCTTGACGCCAATGCCCATACCGACTTTCTTTCCTAGCTCTCTTCAATTCGACTAGAAATAAAGAAATGTCATCCACTAGTAACCGGAGCTTGCTGCATATTCGTATAATCGCCACTTAGACCAAAGGTCGAAGGACAAAAAGCGTCTCATCGCCAGATAAAAAAGAAACAACGCGGATCCAGGGCGAAGGAGTTCACACCTAACATCTTGTTGCATCCCAGCCGGGCTATTCTTCAAACTTGAATCCTTTCCCCCTCTTCTATTCAATCTCCATACACCAGCTTTCAATCAGTCTTTTCAGTCTTTTCAGTCTTTCACATAGAGTCACAGATGAACGCCGAAGTAGTCACGTGAACGACGGCCCCGATAAAACATGCAAGGATAGTCATCCATCAAGTCTGTTCGGAAATAGGTCCGACTCTCCTAACCCTTTCCAGCGCGCTATGGCGAGCTGAATACATCAAAATCTAGCCGCATACTTGCGGGCGATGTCAGATCCAATGACTCGGTACAAGATATAACCATCATTGAACTTCTAGCGGGCAAATCAAACATAAGCAGCCACATCTATAGATGTGACTCTTCAATTGTCCCAGATCCAATCATTCGATACATCACCCTGTGAAGATATAAATGTGAAGTGAAATTTTTCCCGCGGCTTTTGCCATGCATAACCGATCGATCAAACTAATGCAGCCACATCTACAAACGTTATTGCGCTGGTAATTAGCGGGTACACAAAAGCCACATTGAATCTTTTGACTTCAAATTGAACCTATGAAAGCTTTTCAGGCATTTGTATTGCTAAGGAACATGCGGGGTGGTAGATGAGACAATCAAGGTTCCCAAAATGAGATACGCGAGCTCGAGGCGAGATACTCAATCTATAGATTATAGATGACAGTATTGGGCTAGAAGATTCTCCGCCAAATATCCAATAGAACGATCATGTTATCCTTTAAAATCCTAAATGAAGCGGCATACTAGCACTAGGTTACTTGCCTAGACTTGAATGCCAGGTGTCATGAGCATTGAGTAGAGAAGATACGTGGGAAAATGAAATCCGAGATAACAAATCACTTGATTCGGCTCGAGGACTTTCAGGGCAACATCCATCTGGACTGATTTCATTATAGCCACGGAGTCTAGATGCAGCGGCGAAATCTCAAGCAGAGACTCGTCTATAGTCTTTATTGGGTTGTTGAGGGAAGAAAAGATTACGTTTCACCTCCCTTCACCAGATACAATCAGATCTGCATCCCTACCATGTGGGCATCGCTGAAGTTTGCATGTATAGACTCCTCATGTCTTGAGAAAACTCCTCTTCCGTCTCTCTCTCCACCTTAATATGCTCACATGAAGCACTTCACTCTCGAATTCAAGGATTCTGTGCGTGAAATTATCGTCAGGCTACCAACATTGGCACCGCTACTATTGAAAGAGTCGCTAAGAATTTCCCATAGAGGTAATCCATGCAGATATTTTCTCCCGCGTCGCTCAGCTGCTCAATAATTACTTTCAGGGCCAATAGAGATTCAAACACAATTGTCCCCAGTCATTGAAACCTAGTCAAGCTAAACCTTAGAGATGCATACCAGAGGAGATAATGTGAAAAAAGCAGAGTCAGAGAAAGATATAAAGAGACGAGCACCTCTGCTCCAGAATCAACTCAGCACTTCCTTCTTCTGAAGATCATCAACGCCAAGGATAATATAAGTCTTAAGTCTCATCTTATCTCAAATCCAACAACATGTTCTTCACAAAGCCATCGGTTATTTTTCCACTCTTCTTGGGTGCATCTCTGGCTTCAGCGATTCCAACTTCTGAATTGGTAGCCAGAACTTCTGGAGAAGTTCTTAACGACGTGTGTCCAAACTACCATTTTCCTCAAAAATTATTTTCGCTAACAATATAAAAGTATGAAAGCATTCCTCTCGGTGGCATCCCAGGTGTCATGAGTGCTGCACCTATCACCACTCTCTACAATCAGCTCTCCTATTCTAATTTCTATGCGGTACGACAGACGGGTCTATCGACTCTCCTTATCAAGCCTAATGGCAATCAAGCTGCAGTTGGAAACAATGCTTCCACTCTGACATCAGTATATGCTGGGTCTCCAGTCGTTTCTTTCAAGCCTAACTCCGCATACTTCGGATGCGTTTTGAACAGCGATTCTGCCGTGTCTCCAGCTGTATCCTGTACCGTGGAAGTTACAGCTTATAGACCCGATGGTACACCATATGCTGATAAAGCGGGATGCTCTTTTGATGGCGGAAACACTCGTAAGTATACACGATTGCCAATGTGTTTCGGGACGTATTGTGGAAACACTTCCAAGTCCTAAGCACTAGCAAACGCTAACTATTTGGTTAATGATAGTTGATCAATGCACGTTCCCTACTGCCTGGACCACGGTTGGGAAGCTTTCATACCAAGTCATCGCATCTCAGATTTTGACAACCGTGGGCCCCACTCTTGGTAGTCTGCTTGGAAGCTTGTCCGCCGCGCTTGGCACCGTTCTTTTCTATTTCGACGACTTCAATGCAGTTTATACATGTATTCCTGGAAAGACTAATGCTGTGGTTGGTGGTCTTTGTGGCTGAAGGCACTAGAATTGGTATCTAGTGGACGGGGACTTGCCGGAGAGTTGTCAAAACGGACTTAGACAAGTGGATGATGCGTGTTTGGAAAAGGATGAATTGCTGCGTTTGTTGCTTTCGTTGATATTTTACTTTTTGCTTTTATCCTGTCGCTAGAATCTCTTGATATGCTACCTAGTCTGATATCAGGAATCTGTCTTTCTTTAGTTTAGCCCTTCTATCTGAATATTGATCTTTTGAGGCCATTCCAAGAACTCTCATATGATAAGTGTGTCAATCTTATATGATATAGCTCTGCCTATTGAAATAGGAGACAGTGGTATGCTGAAATACCAGAAGGTAGATAAGGCATGAATCTTCCTTCCCTCCATCAACTAGATGCTAGAAAGCTTTGCTGGAGGGGGTTGATTGAGAGAAATGACCACAGAGTACAAACTGGCGTCTCGGTCTGGATTATGTAGCGTGACGTTCATCAGATAAATACTATTCCGCGATTATGAAGCTTTAGGGAGAAGCTTCTTGAACGATATGGCAGGAGAAGGAAAAAAGACAGCCTTACTTAAAGACACAAGAACTTAGTTGGTAAGCCTACCTGGACTGAAAGTTGAATGGAGTTACGGCTCGTAAGATGAAATGCCTGTGGTCATTGACGTGACAATAGAAAAAGCGAGTGCCATGTTGGATTTCTAGGGTTTCGAAACTCGAAGAACTGTTGTTGCATTTGCAGAACATGGAAAAACCACTTATTGATTCGGAAATGTGATGGAGTCGACAGGTTTGTTCAGTAGTAACAGGATATCAAGAAAAGGAAAATCAATGGTGACAAGAGTGATAAGAGCTTATCGCCAAATTCTGCGACCCCGCACTAAGAACAAAAGCCAATCACAACTCGCATAGATTAGATAAGCATCCATCACCACTGAATTTTTGAATATTTACGGAAGGAATCATTACAATCCGAGTAATCGAAAATTATTTCACGATCGAGATGTTTCGCGACACCGAATTTCCACTATCTTCCGGTACCTTTATCATGCCACCGTCTGAACCTATCACTCATAACGATGACTTTGACGATGTCTTCGGATCTGAACCAGGTTCTCCCACATTTGACGGCAGAGATATGCGCGACGGAGATTTGTTTGGAGTTGGAAATACAGAGATTTCGGATATACCAAGATTAAAGGAGAAGCACGAAACAGAAGGTTATAGAGATGGTGTTACAAAGGGAAAATCTGAGAGTGTTCAAAAGGGATTTGACGAAGGTTATGGATTAGGTGCTGTTTTGGGACTACGAATAGGAAAGATTATTGGAATTCTTGAAGGGATTTTTGGGGCAGTTTCCGTGACCGCGAGCAAGTTCGAAGATGCAGAATGGAGAAAAGAGAAGAGTCGATTAGAGGAATTGTCCAACAATGCAAAGAGTGAACTAAAGACAGAGAAGGTTTTTGCTAGAGAGTGGTGGGGTGAGGATGGAATATGGAAATTCGAAGTTCCAGGGGAGAGGGAAGGAAAGGATGTCGTATTTCCCGATGTTGCTGCAGCACATCCTTTACTTAAGAAATGGGAAGGGATTGTGGAAGAGGAGATACAAAATTGGTCGTTGGACATGAATTTGATGGAGGGAAATGAAGAGGACGTTGTGCTTGTGGGACAGCACATGAAAGCTGATGCTGTGGAGCAGAGGATTGGTGCGGCAAAAACGGATCTGAACTGGTGAAAGAGCATTGACAACACAGAATTCAAATGATCATATCTGGAGGCGAATCCGACTTTCCACGGCATATACGAGATTTGGCCAGCAGATGCCACCTTGGGATTACCAACCTCTCTAACCAAAATAAATGATCAAGCACCGTATTCACACGTTGAAGGAAATTGACGGTTTGGAGGCGGACAGAAACCCAATGGGTAAATCTCCGTTTGCTCGGGGCAACCTATAACATGCATCCTTTGCTCATTCTGTTTACATCTTGATGCAAGCAGGTCTAAGGATCAGATTAATCGGTCCCAGCATCGACGCCTCGTGGACATAGCCAGCCCTCTATGGAGCGGATGTGACCTCGGGATCACAAGTTCAGAGCAAAGGCCACCCTTTTTTCGGAAGTTTGAAGAGACACATGCATTTTCAAGGACCCAAGCGTACGCCAACATCAACATTCATCGCTAAAATTAAGCTAGAAGTAACGAGAACCATTTTGGGGTCCCTCCAACCCACCGTGGGCGTCTGTCTCATTTGAAATGTTTATGCATATGCATCAATTCACATTTTAAGGTTGAAAAAGTGTGTGGAATCAATTAACCATTGGATGGAGATTCTGTAGCCAGCTGTTGCCATGGGGCATTCGAATTATAATAATAGACATACCCATTAATACAGTGTGCTATCTTGACATCTATGTGCCTATAGATCTTTGACCTATCCTGTACTCCATTTATTTAAATCAAGATACGAGAAACTAACCGGATATCCAACTTTGAGCGCTTAAGGAGACCGAATTGCTGGGGGAAGGGGTTTTCATATGCAGAGTACCACCCTGTGTGCTGCGGTCAATGCACACAGGTAGGCTGGTAGGTTCGTAGCCAGCCTTTCCAACTTCTGGTAGTATCTGTCATGAAACACACCATTGAAAGTACCTAGTAAAGAAAGAAGCTTAAAATCGCCGAACCAGTTAAATCTTACAACGGGAAAGATCGACAAGGGTAATTTAATGATCTACGATCACCCCCGCCAATGATATGTCATGGAAGCTAAGGTTGCCGGCGCTCATGTAAAAAGTACCTCACCAAGAGATGGATAAGCAACGACTAGAATATGTCACTCTCGCATCCGATAATAGCTTAATGAGTAAGGCAAATTCCTCCGAGTGGGTGATTTGCGAATGGACCGCGGGTTGTTGAGCACCATAAGGCCTAGTAGGAGTGGGAGGATCCAGTTGAAAGACTATTGTTAACTTCTGAGTAGTTAGTTGGGAGGTGAGGTAGGTCAAAGAGCCGGCAACAACGGCCCTGCTACATTGGACGAAAAGAAGCATTTTTTCCATTTTCCATTTTCCGACTCAAGCTCACAGACATTGGTCCCTGAGTATTTTCCTATTTCCCTTGAGGTATCTTTAGCTGAGGTACAAACCTGGTACTTACACAGACGCTTCTTTCCTCCCTGACTCTCCTCCGCGACTACCACCATATATGAAAGAAAATATAGCCGATGCCACAATTTTAGTCGGGACTGATATCCGTACCTATACAAATCAGATCAGATCAAATCAAGAAGGGAAAGAGGTACTGAGTACTTAGTACTTTGTTATGTAAGTGGGGACCTATTTAGTCCTATCATCTCATCTCATCTCATCTCATCTCATCTCTTTTCCTCTTTCTACCTTTCGACTTTCTTTTACCTTCTCCCCTCCTCTGCCTTATCCGTAATAATTACCTACCACCCCTCCATCTTCAACCTCAACCTCAACATTCACCTCTCTTCTCTCTCCTCTGACCTCTCGTCTTCACTCCTAGCAAGCCCTCACATTCTTTTTTTCCCTATTAATTCCCTATTTCAAAGATTCAATCTTTATGTGGGCTTGCTGTTCACTCCTTTCAAGATTGTCTATATCTCTATTATCGAATCCTAGATTTCTCATCGTTTTGAATTAATTCATCGGGTCGAAAAAACAACAACAAGCACCTTCAGACGAGCAATCGCATTTGCTTGCTTTTTTTGTGTCTAATTAATCACCCTATCATACGAGGTGAGTTGTCATATATGTCTCATTTCACACTTCATACTTCAGCCTTCCCACTTGATATACTTCAAATTCTATCACTTGCATCGCCAATCGGCGCAGGAAATTGCGGTCGCCTAGTGAATGGGTAAATGACTTTTGTTGATCTACACAGCCTTCACCTCCAATGCGACAAGGCAAGGCTGGGAGTTATATAATACTTCACACAATACTTCCAAAATCTTAAAACCCACATCTTCCTTTCTTTCTATTTTCCATTTTATTCAAGCTACACTTTACTCACTTGTCGTTACTTGTCAATACCTTCTCGCACTGAGTTTGACGCACCCAATACTGATCTTCTTCAAGTGATCCTTAGCAGCCATGAAGGCTACCTTCATTTCCTTGGGCCTTATTGCCTCTGCCTCCGCCAATATTGTCTTCAATCATGTCCCATTAAGCTGTGACATTCGAAGCACTAATTTATACTATGGTTGTCTTGAAGGTCAAAATTGTACAGATGATGGCACCAACGAGTAAGTTACCTTGGACAAGTACAACAGAAGCATATGACTGATTCCCCCAGATGTTATGTCCCAAACACTCCAATGCCATCTCGCTATTACCCGGTCCCAGTCGAAGATCGAAAAATTGAGCCAAGACAAGCTGTCTACTCAAAAGATGGTAGCTGTGGTCCTGCCAACGGCAACACTCTCTGCGATCCAAACAGTACAGTGTACAAAGGATCATGCTGCTCGGTAGGTTACTCCAACAATTCATGGAGGATCAATCACTGATTTTAATAATAGTCATACGGCTGGTGTGGAAATGATGAAGCGTGAGTACACTAGCAATCAGTATTATTCATAAATTGTTGCTAATATCTTATAGTCATTGCGGAGCCGGATGTTTATCAGGATGCACTAGCGGCACTACAACTCCAAGTGGTACCTCTCCTTGAACTGATGGTCGATGTGGAAGTGTGAGTATTCATGTGTTCAGTTGTGGTTGTGTTATACTGACTTTGTTAGGCTTTCGGTGGTGCTACCTGCGATGCAAACGGTGCATTTGGTGGTTGTTGCTCTGCGTATGGGTGAGTCATGCTTTGCTCACATTCAATTTGAGCTTTCATATCACCAAAATAATTCCCTGTCATGATCGGATGCTAATCTTACCATTTTCAGTTATTGTGGCTCTACAACTGATCACTGTTTGGCTTCGAATGGTTGCCAGAATGGATGCACAGGCTCACAGTCTACATCAGCCGCCAAGACTACTACTAAAGCTGCAGCAGGCAGCTCACCTTCTTCATCTACAACTCAAGAACCAGTTATTGCTCCGGTTACTTCTACACTTACACCTGCCGCAGCCAGCAATGCACCAGTAACTACTGATGGATCATGCGGTACTGCTAACGGAGGTACGGTTTGTGGCAATTGGGCAAATGGAAATTGTTGTTCCATGTACGGCTTTTGGTATGTGTAATCATTCACTCGTGAAACTATAACTAGTCTAATACAAGGTAGTGGTAGTACTAACGCACATTGTGGTGCTGGATGCCAATCGGGAGATTGTTTGAATGCGCCTGTGGTTGCAGCCCCTGGTGCGAGTCCTGCCCCAGCCGCCCCAGAGGGAGGTGCCTTTAACATTGTCGGGTCATCTGGAGTTCCAGCTATGCACGCCGCACTTATGCCAAACGGCCGAGTCATGTTCCTCGACAAATTGGAGAACTACACCCAGTTGAAATTGCCAAACGGATACTACGCAATGTCTTCGGAATACGACCCAGAAACCAACGCAGTTGCCACTCCGTTAGCTTACAAGACAAATGCATTTTGTTCCGGAGGTACTTTCCTTGCTGATGGACGTGTTGTTTCCCTCGGAGGTAACGCGCCCTTAGACTGGCTCGACCCAAATATTGGGGATGGATTCGACGCTATTAGATACCTTGAACGATCTTCTACCGATGCGAGCCTTACTGGAAAAGATTGGAGTGAACCAGGTAACAAGCTCGCAAGTGCTCGTTGGTATGCTACTGCTCAAACCATGGGCGATGGAACCATCTTTGTTGCTTCTGGAAGTTTGAACGGCCTCGATCCGACTGTCAAAACGAACAACAATCCTACATATGAGATCCTTAGTCCTGCCGCTGTGTCACAAGGTAAGAACATCGACATGGAAATTCTGGAGAAAAACCAGCCGTATTATATGTATCCTTTTGTCCATCTCCTTAATGATGGAAACTTGTTCGTCTTTGTTTCAAAGTCTTCCCAAGTATTCAATGTCGGTACCAACACTATCGTCAAGGAACTGCCAGAGCTCGCTGGAGATTATCGCACTTATCCCAACACTGGTGGAAGTGTTTTACTTCCTTTGTCAAGCGCAAACAACTGGAACCCTGATATTATCATCTGCGGTGGAGGTGCATACCAAGATATTACCAGTCCAACAGAGCCAAGTTGTGGAAGAATTCAGCCATTGAGTGCAAACCCCACATGGGAGCTGGATGCTATGCCGGAAGGTCGTGGTATGGTTGAAGGAACCTTACTTCCTGATGGAACAGTTGTTTGGCTTAATGGAGGTAATTTGGGTGCTCAAGGATTTGGACTTGCAAAAAACCCAACATTGGAAGCACTTCTTTACGATCCTACGAAAGCTAAAGGCCAAAGATTCTCAACTCTTGCCACCTCAACTATCCCACGTCTCTACCATTCTGTCTCTCTTCTTCTTCTCGACGGTACACTAATGGTCGCTGGCTCAAATCCTGTCGAGATGCCAAAGCTTAAACCAGATGCAGCCGATCCATATGTTACAGAGTTCCGAGTTGAGAATTACGTTCCTCCTTATCTCTCAGGCGATAATGCAAAGAAGCGTCCTACCAATGTAAAATTGGCATCGGGTAGCTTTAAAGCTGATGGAACCACACTCGATGTCACCTTTGATTGCCCAGCTGGCGCGAAAGCAGTCACTGTGACTTTGTACCACGGCGGATTCGTTACTCATTCGGTACACATGGGTCATCGCATGCTGCATTTAGATAACACGGGCTTCGTCGCTGGTGCTACACAACAGAAGTTGACTGTTACTCGACCACCAAACAACAATGTTGCACCTCCTGGTCCATATGTTGTTTACATTCTTGTAGACGGCATTCCTGCAATGGGACAATTTGTTACGGTTTGAGGGTTTGTATTTTAATGAAGTTCAACGCAATTTTGCTGCATAGCTTTGGTTTGGGAGGAAATATGGTGTGATATCCGGATGACCAAAATTGTACGCAGGGCTAGGAGTTAAGACTCAATAGCGAATAATGATAATAATTCTTCAATTTTGTATCAAGGTTCCTTTTGATTATGACGAGTGAAGTCGATCAAATTTAGAATGTTCATATGTGATCTACATCGTATTGAGAGGCTGAAATTCTCCATGCCAATGCCCCAAGCCTATATTTTTAGGGGGCCCACTTATCGTAATAATTCCGTGTCGAGCGTGCCTAGACTTTTGATGCATTTGCCGCGGAAGAAGCGATGTCCAAAACTTTTCATCATCGAATCAGTAAGTACTCATCATTTCCTCGTACAATTGGGGGCAGATACCAATGCAGCTAAGTGGTCATACATGCATACATCACAAAATGTAGCCTGTAATATGCTGACAACATGGAGCGAGACTAAAATTGTGTGAGGGGACGGGATTTCCCACTGATCCTATGAGCGCCCACAGTTTAAGAGTAGGATAATGGAGCCCTCAGAAGCATGATCCAGAAGGACCCAATAAAGAGGGGGAGCTGAAAAGATTGGTGGGAGTGTATGATTTTGTACACGGTGTTGTATTTGTGTTCTTGTTTTTTTTGTTTCGAACGCGAAGCTAATGGTAAGTTTAAAGAGAGGTAAAGGTCGTCATTCTTGAATGATTCAAAGGAAGGTTAATAGAGTTTTTGAGATCTAAGGAATTCAGTGTTGTGGTGAAAAAAACTTTTGATCACAAGAGCTTCGTTTCGAATAGATTAAACGGCAGAACTTTGTTTAGCACCTCGGGACTTCAGCTCAGGAACTGGGTGAATTTAAGGAGGGGTTAAGGCATATATATACTCAAAGCCGAGGAGATTGCGGAATAGTTACGACACACAGGACAACTACACAAATCACAGCTTCATATCTCATCTGGTCTTACTCGCTGATTTGCAAGCTCGCAAGCTTTCTACCTTTCGATAAGGCCGGCACGATAAACAAGCTCGAAATGTCACTCGATCCGCGAGATTCACAAAGGAGGGGTAGGTCTACGAGCCCCGGACGCGAAAGATCTCATTCAGGATCCGGATATGAAGTGGAAGGATACACTGGCAGATTCAGAAATGCAAGTGCGAACCCCGCAACAGGGTTTGGTGCTTCAAGATATGGAGAGGTAGATAGTGCTGGTATACCTGATACATTAAAGATCGATGAGGTGAAATATACAGAGAGGGATAGGGTTAATGAGAGACTGCATACTCCTGCTCAGTATGACGCTTTGGCATATGGAGAGGGATATGAACCTGGTACTCCGGCGAAGATCAATGTTTATGGATCCCGCGATCCATCACCAGCAGCTGTTCCTCGAAGTGCTGGATATGGGAAGGATCTCCATACTCCTACCTATAGTACCTTTAGTACTCACAGTGACCGGCTAGCTTCCCCCCGCGACCATGAATATGAGAGAGATTCAAACAAATATATTGAAGATAGTCATGGTCGTCACAGATCGGCGAGCTTCAAGGTCTCGGCCGGGGTGGGCAGTCATCATGGGGCTCTCTCCGCTGGCTTGAGCATGGGTCATGATCAACATCATGTCCAGTCTCCAGCTGGCTCGCAATTCTCAGGGTATAGCAAGAGAGATGAGGAACATAGATATGCAGAGTCCCCTCAGTACAAATATTCGCATACGGGTGAAAAAATTACTTTTTCAAGTACCACAAGGAAAACAGTTATCGGTGGGGAACACCCTGAAGAGAGAAGTCCTCCACTTCCAGCTCGACCCCACGGCCGTAGAGATTCTTCACCGCATAGACATCATAGACATGAGAGTTCATCAGCTCGAAGCAGTAGCTCTCGCTTGGTCTCCGAACAAGTCGTTACTGTTGACCCTGGTGCACGTCGTCGCGATGCCTCACCAAACCCCGCTAGACTGAGCGATCGACTCAACACACTGAGCATCAATACCGGTGGTCATCACTCGTCACACGGCTCTCTAAGCTTATCTCCTGGCGGCCATTCCCATTCAGGCTCTCTCAGCTTGGCAAATGCACCTAACTCTCCTCTCCTCGAAGCATACAAGGGAACATATCAATCTATATCCCCCATGCCTTCTCCAATGCTAGTCGTCACATCACATTCTGACATCTCTGAGAGTTTCTCTCCCTTGTCTCCCTCTGGTGGAGATTCTTTTCGTCGCACAGCCCGCTTCCATGATTCTCAAGATGAAGCTGAGATTCTTCGTGATGCACTCAAGGGTGAAAATCGTGCTCCGGATGTCCAGCCTCTTATCACCATTCTTCCGGGTCTGACACATGAACAAATCCTTGATCTTCGCGACGAGTATAAAAAGATTGTCAAGACGGGTCATGAAAGAAAGGGTGTTAATATCGCTAAACATATCAAGCTCCGTCTCAAGGATGAAGATCCAAGTTTGATGAAAGCTTGCTATGCAGTTGCTTTGGGACGATGGGAGAGTGAAGCCTACTGGGCCAACTTCTGGTATCAAGGAGAGAAATCTCGTAGAGAACTACTCATTGAAAGTTTAATGGGACGATCGAATCGCGAAATCGAGAAGATCAAAGATGGATTTAGTGATAAGAAGTATAGAGATTCGTTGAGACAATGCATGGAAAAGGAACTCAAGGAAGATAAGTTCAAGAAAGCAGTACTACTTGTTCTGGAAGAAAAGAAGATGGAAGAGAGTAGACGCATCGATGGAGATTTGCTCAGAGAGGATATCAGACAGTTAGAAAAATGCGTCACGAGTGAGCGGGGTGGTGAGACGAGAATGATTGAGATTATTTGTACGAGGAGTGATACGCACTTGAGAGAGGTATTGAGGGGGTATGAGGAGAGGTTCGGAAAGAATTTCGCAAGGGAGATGTTGGCGAAGAGTACGAATCTTGTGGTAAGTTTTTTTCTTTCTATATTTTTCTATAATCATGTTTTCTTGGTAATTAAACTAACACCTTCTCCCAGGGTGAACTCCTCGCCCATATCCTCAACGGAATCATCAATAAGCCAGTCCGTGATGCGCTATTGGTACATCATGCATTGACGCTCTCGACGAGAGATCCGCTCAAGACGGAATTGCTGATTAGTCGATTGGTGAGGTATCATTGGGATCGTAAACATTTGGAGGAGGTGAAGAGGGAGTATAGGGATCGCTATGGCATTGATATGCAAGATGCGGTTAGAGAGGGGGTCAGGGGGGATTTGGGGAGGTTTTTGGAGGGGTTGTGCATGTGGAGGGAGAGGGATAGGGTTAGGGAGGTTTAGGTGGTGGATGATTGATGGATTTATGGATATTTGATGAATACTTGATGGATATATGATGGATGAAAGAATGATATGATATGACATGGAATGATAAACGGCCGGTTAGGTTAAAGGAATGGAATTTATTTTTCGCATTAAGGTTCATTGTGTTGTATGTTTGTGATGTGGAATGAGAGGTGCCATGCTCCAAGATTATTTTTCCTTGACCTTGATTTCAAGTTCTTGAAGCAGCTGCGTATTAGTCTTTTTGTTCGAGTTCGATGCATCTGGAGTCAAGGAATCAAAGAATGGTTGTTCTTTATATCCTGAGTAGTTCTCTGCAAATCTTCATCATGAAACAATGGGAATCTCATAGTGTATGCGTTCAACGATATAAGGGGTTTCATGACTGACGGCTTGCTAAAAGACTGGAATCTTGAAGTGGGGTCGGGTGAGTGTGCAATGTATGTATGTATGCAGAAGTCTATGCAATCACAAAGAGAATATGTGGCAACTTATTAGATATATTCATGATTCTCATTTGAAATCATGACATTCTTTGCAAATAAAAGACCAGGCTATTTTATTGAAAGAAAATAGTTGATTAAGTGAGCAAAAAGTCAGGTGAGCACTAGATCGAACGATTATCCCTCTCTTTCTCCATCACTCCTTCCTCAGCAACAATCTCAACTCCATCCATCTGTAATGAATCACTCCACCCCCGAGAATTGAACTTCAGCTCAATATCCACTTACAAACAAACATGTTGCCCCATAGATAGTCAGTCAAGTGACTCAAACCCTTCCATCCTTCCCATACTTTTCCTCATTACATCAGCTAAGCTACCATCTCCCTCCTTCTCATCTCAACTTTACAAACTCACAGCAGCAAGCAAACAAACAAACAAGCAAACCAGTCATTCCCTCCTTCCTCCTTTCTTACTCATATATATCAGAACACCCATCAAATGTTCATAATATGCATCAAACCCCTCGCGGTGGTGCAGTGGTAGAAAGCTTGGTTGAGGTAGTGGTTAACCTGTCTGCCTCCCAGATGAACAATATTGTCCAAGTGCGCAGGAAACGGGGATTCGAATTCCCCACCAAGCATGATGTATTCTTTTTTTGTTCACTCGACTTCGAGTTGGAAGATTTTGATTGTGTTTTTCTGTTCTGTTCTCTTCTTTCCTTTTTCGTTTGTTTTGGTTTTGGTTTTCTGCTTTTTGATGGGCTTGGGGGGTTTGTTCGGATCGGGATAGGTTGGTGAAGGTATTCACTTATTCAGTTTCTTTGGAAGCTTCGAGCTCCTTTTTTTCTTGATGGATATCATACAGAAATTTGTTGAATATCAATACTCGTCAGTGGTCAGTGATTCACTCGAAGACCGTATCATTTTCTGAGTATCTACGAGTAAGTCTGTTTAATGATCATTCTTTCAAGCTTCGATAATCAAATGAACATCATACATCAATTCACATCACCCTTACAGCAAGCCTTTTCCCTCTTGAACGCAAGAATCGATCAACGATTGGTGAAAATACTATGACTTTGTTTCGATACGTTCCACGTTTGATCCACATATTCTAGGTAATGCATACAAGCGGCGTAGCACGTGAAATATAATATATTGCCTACTTCCTTTCACTTCGATCTTTTTTACCTTCTTATGATCGATTTTTTTTTGCTTTGCTTAATCACTTCTCTCGATATTATATACGATTGATGCGATCCTCTATACCTATGACTTGAGGGAGACTGCAGGTTTTCGAAACGTTCAATATTTTGGAGGAGTTTTCTCCTAACAATATGTGTGATATCTGTGATTATTTTTAGGGAGGTAACACTAACTCCTTTCTGTTTCAATTTACGTGATTCAGAACGACGGGAAATTACGGATGAAATGAACATTCAAGAAGTTGGGTAAAGAAGATGTTCAGTTTCCTCAAAGTGACGACTTTGAGACCGAGCCATAGACTTTTTCTCGGATATTGAAAGATCGAATTTACTTTGCAGAATGAAGTCTTTGTGGAGAAAAGAGGGGTTTCTCGGGATACTCGACGAACACGATGGTGTAGTTTGGTAACATCACTGTCGGATTAGAACTCTGTCGTTCTTGTTTACTCGAACTACCTGGGTGGTCAAGAATTAAAATATACTAGCTGGATAAGGACTCACGCTTTCGCCATTTTGGCAAATGAAACTGCAGATAGAACATCTGGGAATGTTGAACACTAAAGTGAATCTAAACGAACCAACAAGACTCTTCAATTCCAATCACCACTACTTTCCACATTTCATCTCTAAGAGTAGCGCACCAAGCCTGCCTGAGGATGAAATCAACCATCCATGAGTCAAATTTACACCAGTATGACTTGAATCCACGCATACTGGATTAGCATATATTGCTTTTGTGCTCATGTTAGTCACCAACGGATTTCTTGTAGGCTTGATCGCTCAAGCAAGGCACGAAAGTGGTCCTGAATTTTGGCAGTCGTCTCAAGTTGCTTCTCTATGGCACGGACTAGACTACTGAGAAACAAGGCAGCGAGCTTGTGACAGGTAGTGATATGCATAAAATAGCAAACGAGATTACTTTGCAGGTTGATGAGACAAGACACAATTGCTGATTTCTACAAGGTGGATCGATCAATAGATCATGAGTTTAAACTTTGCTTTAGAACTCGAATCGTTCTCTTACAAAGGACAGGCATTTAGCTGGCGATAGCTGGAGTATTGAAGTAAGAAAACCAAAATATAATGGCAAGTCATATTAATTATTGATTTCTATCTATTATATAATCATTATGATATTCCTATCGAGCCTCCACCTCTCGAGTTTACCAGGTCATTCGATCTAATCCCAAAAGCTCCAATTCCTTTCCTCTCATCTCTCCTCTCAAGAAATCTCGTCAATAACGCTGTCAAAGCAGTCGCCGCTCCAAAAGTCGCTGCAGCAATCCAACCCGGACGAAACTCAGGCGCTTCTTCCGTTCTCCATACCGCATCCGAGTACCATATCTGCATAATATATCCAAACATATTACTTGTTGCGATCAGAAATCCCCTCATCTCATGATCATGAGACATCAGATCTGGATACCAAGAAAACCAAATTCCCGGCACACCGGCTGAGAAATATGCAATATAAAATGCAACGAACTTCAGCTTGATGGGTACAGTCCAGATAGCTAGCACGACTGTGCTGAAGAATGTTCCAAGTTGCATTACTAGTATTGGTGGCCAACGTTTTCCGTGCAAGAGGTTAGAATCTGAGATCGTGGCGGCTACAACTTGAACAATTACACCGATGCCAGCTTGAGCTGTTGGGAGGACATCTCTATCATAGACTGAGTTGCCTTTAGCTTTCAACCATAAGGCAAATGCAGGTTGTTGGGACGGAAGACTCGCTTGGATGAAGAAATAACCGAATGGTAGGACCCAAAACTGCCATTGCTCCATCATTCGAAAAAGCTTTTTCTTGTCCCACGCTGATGATCCTAGTGTATTGTAACCATCGCGAACAAGTCTTTCTTTGGCTAATTTGATCTCAGCTTTCGTCAGATAGAAAGCTCGAGTGGTTTCAGGGAAATCGGGATTGAAAAAATATCCAATGACGCCGACCGGAAGACTGATGGTACCACATATGATGAATAGCCATTGCCATCCAGCATGGCCCAGATGCCCGCTTAAATTGTCATAAGCTGCTTCTTGAAGATAGCCACTGAACATCGTGGCTAGAGTTGCGGTACAGTAAAATAATGTTACACGCTTCGCTCGCTCTTGTTTCGTATACCACGAACCAATCACATAAATGATGCAAGGAAAGAAAGCCCCCTCACAAAGTCCGATGAGAAATCGCAGCGCGTACAATTGCGATACATTAGTAACGGCCGCACTACAGAATGTAAAGATAGACCAGAGAACCTCAAGTGTAGGAATCAAAATCGACGGTCGAACATGCGTAACTAGGATGACGGCAGGGATTTGACTTATGACATAGCCAGCAGTAAAGACATTTCCCATATATGTCAGTTGACTACCTTTCATATTGATCGCTTCTTGCATGCCCGAAACATAGGCATTGTTCAGATTGGCTTGATCGAGGTTCTTGCAGAAGTATCCAAGACAGCCGTAGGTAAGGAGGAAGAAATCGAGTTTGAGGAGGAACCGTTTTTCGATGGCTGGTTTGTCTGGATCGTCCCAGACGTAACCTTGAATACTCCTCAAGAAATGACGGAAAGAAACTTTGAGTCCGGGCTTCTCCCATGATCTGAGCGGAACTTCGACATTGGCGTTTCGATGTGAAGATGGGGATGTTATCGAGCCATCTGTTGAGGTGACATCTGTAGGTAAGATATCTGACCCGAGACCCTTCTCGTGGACTTCGGACATGATTATTCTCGATTGATCGGGAAATAATCTCTAGTCCTAGTTTAACGTGGATGGTATTGCTTAAAAGTCTCGATTGGTTTTTACATATATATGTGCCCCTAACACTTCGCCATCTCAAACCCATTCTCGACCATTTGGATTTGTAGATCTAGAAACTACGCTCGTTCAATATTCTTGATATTGCGACATCAATGAACATCATTCGTTTTTTGATATTTTCGCATTCGCTCCAATTAAAGAAGTCATTCTTATCTGATCCCAAAGTCTCGTAAGACTTGAAAGTAACCTTTCTATGGATACATTGCTATCTAAAACTCATGCATTGCGAGTGGATGAATAGTTATCCCACTTTTTAGATACATGTGGTATCTTAGTTTACTTGACGTGACATTTGGGAGAATTGTCGTTGTGTTACATTATGAACCCCTCGATTAGACGATCCCACAATTACCCCGGTTTTCTATCCGGACAGGAGAATTTTAGGATATCAACACGCCAATGATGCTCTTTAATACCATGGATTGATAAGCGTACGCAACAATGGTACAAATCAATCTACTACTTGCCGCAATCATGGGGGTTGAGCGCTCGATTTGGTGATGGTGTCATGCGGGGAGCAGATGACGAAATTTTGGAGATATCTCATAATCACAAACGAGAGATACAAGATGCTGTGCCGGATTGCCGGAAATAGAGAGATGGATGATACTTAAGAGCTCGATTAATTATAAGTCATTGTCGCGAATTGATCGAAATCATATTCATCATTCATTGAAAGATTTCATATATCATGTCTACTACCACAACCGAAACAGTCGTAACATCGGCTCCAGAGGTCACTCAAAATCTTCAAGATCCAGCACAATATGACTTTGATCACCTTCCAAAGTACACGCATCCACCTGAGACCAAAGAAGATCTTCCCTGGGCCGAACTCGTGACGCTAGACCTTTCAGATTTCAACGATGAAGGTGGAAAAGAACCTCTCGCCAAGCAACTTGAACACGCTGTCCACCATGTCGGTTTCTTCTATGTGAAGAACTTTGGTCTTTCTCAAGATCAAGTCGATCGTCAATTTACACTCGCCAAGAACTTCTTTACTCTCCCTGTGGACGAAAAAGCCAAGTACGAAGTTGATTATGCAAATGCTGATTATAATGGCTGGAGACGAAACAATCATCATCAAGTTGGAAAAGTTAAAGACAATATCGAGATCTATAACATTCCCAAATTCACCAAAGATTTTGAAGGCAAATATGCTCAGCCTCCTCTCATCCAAGCCCACCTTCCCGAAATCGAAGTCTTTTCCAAAGCTCTCCATTCCAATGTTGTTCTTCCCCTCCTCCGTCTCTTCGCCATCATTCTCCAACTCCCAGACGAAGAATATCTCGTCAACCAACACACCTACGACAAGAAGAGCGAAGACCATTTTCGCTACATGATCTACCACAAGCGCACCCCGGAAGAACACGAAGCCAGCGGCTACGGGCAAACAACCGGGCACACTGATCTCGGAACCGTCACCCTCCTCTTCCGTCAACCCGTCGCCGGACTGCAAATCCTCGGCGACGACGGAAAATGGACGTGGGTATCCGCACAACGCGGCACCATTACCGTCAACCTCGCAGACACCATCTCGCATCTCACCGGCGGCTGGCTCAAATCGTCGATTCATCGAGTCGTTGCGCCACCCAGGGATCAGTGGGAGTATGAACGTACCGGACTTTTGTATTTTGCGAGACCGCATAATGATACGGTTTTGAAGCCAATTTTGGATTCGCCGGTGTTGAAGGAGGCGGGTGTGAAGCCAAGATTTGAAAAGGAAATCACGATGGAGGAGTGGGTTAGAGCGAAGCAGAGATTGCAGTTGAATCCGGATCTTGCAAAGGGATTGTATGAGGATGCGGAGGATGGGACGAGGACGGTGGAGGTTATTGGGGGGTTTAAGGATAGGACTTATAAATGAAGGGATTGTTGGTTGATTTAACAAATATATGAATTATGATTATGAGCAAATTGGGATGTTTTTTACTGGAGTGAAATGGTGAAGTGATTGATTAGAACTCTGGTGTTTGACTCGATGAAAATTTGCGGGCTTTCATATCTGCATTAATGAAAGTGAAGTAAGCTTCAATACTCGGTAATATTTTGTATCAGCAATGTCTCAATCTCTATGGTATCTGCATGAGTATATAATTGCCTAATTCCCTCTTTTGAACTTGACAACGCCTTCTAGTAAAGATAGTTGATCATTCTGCACGTTCAATTGTTCTAGTCTGAAGACTGACGATCTTTGTCGCTAAGATCAAGTTAGATCTTGAGGTAGAGAAGCTTTCTATGTAAGCTGTAGACACCAAAGGATAGTGAAATCATCACCAAAAGTATTGATAGATTGATAGCTATGAACGACAACAATTATTAAACAACCACGATAACCTAACGATGCTTTCAAATTGATATGCCCGAGAAGATAGTGCCCTGTCTGTCCCTCTACAGTAAAAGCTCTGATCGATAAGTGAACTTTAATTCTTACTAAATTTCCATCCACGTCTTCTCAAAAGCGAGCCTGAAGGTAGGATTCTGCTATACCTATCTTAGAACTGGAGATTTAAAGCGAGGGACATCCTTGGCTTATTTATCCTTCTCTATCCACTGAACTTCGAAACATGATGAGGGACCTAACTGTGGCGTAGGACAGTTCAAAGGCATAACCAAGAACCTCCTACTTTGATATCTTGCACATAAACATCTAAGATGGAGCTGTTATGGACTTCTATTTCTAGCTGTACTAAGAAACTATCGACTATTTGGTCATTAGAATTACTATCTGAATGTAAATTTGGAAATCTGTGATTTCTTTCTTGGAGGCTGCATGAGCTCTATCACATACATTCAACTTCAAGAAAACGTCGGCTCCTTTTTAAAATTCATACCTTTGATAGTGATAAGCGAGAGTATTGTTGTTGTCAAACTCCCTCTTTATCATCATCATCGTCGTCATCATCGTCATGATACCCCGTTCCGAGGAGCCTCTCACTCACTTGACCGTATTGCAAAAACAACACCACTTCGAACTTATTGCAATATCAAAGCTCAAAAAACTCTAGATACGCTAATTCAAGCAGTTTATATGAATGGAGAGTGCCAGATCATAATCGTTGTATCTACGATTGAAGCTAAAAGAGAGACTAGGATTTTGCATTTTTGCTACCTACGACTTCGCCATGAGGCCTAGTATTCAATTTACAAAACTAGTTTTAGATCTAGCACTCATACATACATTAAAATATTGATTTAGTAGTAAGAAAGTTGTATATACACACGCGAATTTATTGAGGAAGTCACGCGTATATAAACTCATCGAAAATCGCTATCGTTACTCAAACAAGGTGTAAAACTCTATAACGAGTGTACTAAATCACTTAATAAGATCTTATTAATAGAGTATGTATCGATCACCAGGGGGTGCACAGACTCACGGGACAACGTGACAGGAAAGCACAATTTCACACTCAAATTTATCAACTTCAAAACTCAATCAAAATTCCAAATTCCATTTAATATCATTCAAATCAAGATATATGATTTATAAATATAAAATTCATATAATATATAGAGATTGAATCTTAAAAATTAATATTGGATTTAAAAATCAAATAATACATTTTCCCACTAAATTTTTTGTTAGAATATCATATAATCGATTGTATAAGCTTGAATATTTTTTTTTTTTGAAATAAAACTTTTCTTATATAAAATTCTTATACTTGAGAATGATAATTCTTAATTTCAAAGTCAAATATCAATTTTTTGAATTTTAATTGAATTATCAAAACAGCTCTTTTTGATGTGAAATTGTGCTTTTTCTCTTAAGTATCCCATAAGTCTGTACATCCACTAACGTGGTTTAACACCGAGTGCACTATATCACTGAATGCACCACTTCAAAATACACCAAAATTAGCCTTTTTTTAATATTCATATTTTAATAATTAATCAATATTTTTTTAAAAACAAAAAAGATTTATTAATAAGAAAATATTTTTTATAAAAATATTAAGTTTTTATATAAAAATTTCTATTATATTTTATAAAAAGTAGAGATTGTTACGATTTTCGTTATAAAAAAACTATTTCTATAATAATTATTATATTAATTCAAATTTTTAATAAATAATTAAATTTTTATAATATTTATATAATTAAATATTACAATTTCAAATTTTGAAAAATTATATTATTAAATAAAGAAAGTGTATGGTTATATACAGATGTATTTTGTATATAAAATTTGTGGTGCATTCGGTGATATAGTACACTCGGTGTTAAACCACGTTAGTGGATTGATCATATAACGTGGTTTATCACCGGGTCGCTAATATCACCGAGTCGTCATTTTTTTTTACATACAAAATTCGTCTGTGCGCAACCGTGCACTTTCTTTATTTATAGATATAATTTGAAAAACTTTTCCAAAAATTATTATTTTTTAAATAAATAATACAAATTTCTAATTGTTTATTAGAAAATCGATTTTATATAAGAATTATTATAAAAATAGTGTTTTTGTAATGCAAATCGTGACAATTTCGACTGTTTTTGGAATATAATATAATTTTTTATAATTTTTGAATATCTAAGTTTTTATTATTATTAAGTGTCTTTTTCTTTTTAAGAAATAATGATTAATTATTAAAATATGAATATCAAGAAAAGACTAATTTTGGTATATAATAGTAAATGACGACTCGGTGATATTAGCGACCCGGTGATAAACCACGTTACTTATAATGATATATTGTAAAATTATATTATAGTAACTCTTATATCAAATTGTTTTTAACAGAATAGAATAGAATAGAATTATATAATGTGGTTTATTATCGAGTAGCTCATATCATCAAATAGCCCACTTTCACCTCAATTTACACTTTTAAACTCATATTATTCAATAATAATTGAATCAATTAATTAAAACTATTAGTAATCTAATAATCTAG